ACATACCCTGTGTCACGGAAGACTTTACAAACATACATGAAACGGACATAAAGAACACCCAGTGGTGTCCCATGTGGGGATCGAACTTACAACACTCAGAGAAGTCGTTATTAATACTAATACGCTACAGCACCACAGTAAACTGCCAGAAATGTTAAGTCGTGAGATTTTAAATTTCGAACGATTACCGCAAATCCATGACACAATTAATTATATTTGATCAACCGTCCGTTTTGAAGCAATATCAGTGCAAAAACTGTCACGCACTTCATTGTTAACAAATATGCGGTTATTGAAACGAAAGCGTTGAAAATTTGCCTATGAAATGGAAGAACGGGTAAGAAAGTCGATGTGAATAAGGTAAAGAAATAAAACCGTTTTTCATGTTCAACGACAATGCGTTTTGATCATTGTTTGGTTTACTTCCGTGACTGTTTAGAGCGGCAATCGTTTCCATTTAATAGAAAAAAAACACTGTTGTACTTTTATATCTTAATCTAATACAATGTCGAGTAATAAGCATGATAAGATTTAATAATAAAAATCTGGCTTACATGTACTTTAAGTTATTATTAAAACAGTGTTTTTTATTGTATTACAAAACTCTATGGTTTATTAACAAATTTTTATACCGACATGTTAAACTATGTCTTTCGGATAAATATAATGCATAAATTCCGTTTATAATTAATAAAGTACAGGGCTAATTTGAATTACGGAATCGTGTCGGATGCCTCTAGTGGTAATTCAGTGCCCCTTAATTAGTCACGGCATGTGCTGCATGCGAGATTCTAGGTTCAACTTAGTGGATGTAATTGTATTATTGAAGGTAGATACCGTAGTTATCTCCAAGATATGAGATTGTTATTAGAGAAGATTGTTATATTATCTATATTTAAAATATTCCATTTAAAAATGAACAATACCAAAAGTAAACACTTTCTCAGACCTAATTTCCTCATTATTGGTTAATTTCTTTCTTGTATTAAAAATGACATAGGTTTTAATTTAAAACTTATGTTTTGTTTTTCTTCAATAAAGATAATTATGTATTATGTTATGAAACTGATCTTATGAATAATCTTCAGAATCGTAAGCCACTTATTGAATCTCTCATCCTAAGTCATGTGTCTGGTAACAACTGTGACCCATGAGGACAATTTGTTAGTGTTATTACATGCTGTTAAAGTGTGCGTCAGTACTCCGCCGTCGAGAGGGGGCGCGATACCGACGTATGTGGACATTAGCGTGAAAAAAAATAAATGTGACCATTCCAAATTCAAAGTTTACAAATTTCAAAAATGGAATACGCGCCATAAAAGTTTGCTGTGACAAATAAATGTGTATTTTATTTGTGCAAATGTCTTTGAAAGTATTTCAGCTGTGATTTTAAAACATAGTGTAAGTTAAAAGTTATATTAAGTGACAAATGAACAGGAATTAAGTGAATTCTAGAAATGTGAATATCTTTACATTCGGTTTGTGCTTGTAGCCGTATACAATCCTCCACTACACGGCAAAGTAAAACAATAAATTAGAGCTTACATAGGTACATTTCTAAGGTAACACTGACATTATAAACATGAATTCCTCGTTGAGTGCAAGATTTCCCGCTATATGTGTCCGAACGAACGAACAATAATCTTTAACATTGCTTAGAAACTTCCTACAAATTCACGACAATTTTCTGAAGCGTTTTATTTATTCTAATCATTATAATTCATTAGTTGAGGTCAAAAGGAACTAAGAAAATTATTTAAACAATACTCAAGATCGAAAGACAATAGATGGTTATTAATCGAGTTACATTATAGTAGTTTGGCTAATTTTATTTTCCAAGTAATATAAAACCTGTATGAAGCATTATTACACATCCTGAAATATCAGAAATAGCATAATTAAAAACTTTTATACACTGTAAAGAGATTTATTGAGGTCATATTATGATCACGATTCAACTGTAACCTCTATATGGCTATAGAGGTATCTATAACTTCTTTAATCATCAACTCCGACATACCAATCCGTAATCAATTTAAAAAATTTAAATACTTGATACCATGAATTACTAAAACATATTTTTAGTTTTTCGACATTATATAATAGTGAAAGCCTTAATTGATACAGTTTAAAGACTAAATGCTCATAATTCTTAAAACGATCTCTACAGAATTTTTATTATTCCATCATATTTAAATAAGCAAAGGCGAGCGAACATCTTTGTTTACTACTGATTTACTAGAGTACGTCTCAGATTTCATAGTTCTTTCGAAACTCTATTCTTTACCAAATGAGAATCATAAGCACTTTGTATACAGAAAGTCCGATAACAATCCCATAGATATCTACAAACAACTTCAGCAACTCAACCTGTCATAGACAAAATAAATGTAACTCAAAAACCAATGTGTCAACCGAAAGCCGCTTCTCGAGACAACAGCGTTTACTTGAGCCAATTTAGCGTGACAGTTAAAACCACATTCACTTGACCCTTTAGAATTCAAACGGCTCGTCCTGTTTGCCATCTATCGTGGACGAAATTAACCGCATGACAGTTCAAGTTTGAATGGTCCAGCCCACACTCAAACACTGATTCCATGTTTCCGCTCAATGCCCTATACAATAATTTGTTACACGAAAATATGCTTTGATGTTATTAAAATAAAGATCAGATTGCATAATTATTTGTTTTAAATTTTTAATTATAATGTAACAATAATTTGTATATTTATTACTCAAACACAAACACGTCCAAATAATATAGATTATCTTAAAATTAAGTTGCAAGACCATGATTCTATTGTTCCTTTGGTTGTCCTGATGTTGTTAAATTTTACAGAAGCAATACAGTATTGTTATGATCCATACATAATTTTTTTTAATGTACCGATAATACCGTAACCGATTTCTTTTTTGTTTTAAAGGGTATACTTTCTAAGTGGTCCCATTTAAATTTTATTAAAATAGGTCGAGCGGTTATTGAAAAATCTAAAAATGATATAAATCGATGTGATATGACATTATTTTTGTTTACTTATAAAACCTTGCTGTCACATTGAAGCAGTGCGTTTAGTTGGCCCATCCATATTAGATATAAATAAAATACTCACTCAATGCCACTCAAAATGTAAAAATTTTTTTTTTTTTTACCAACTTCAAAAAAAGGAGGAGGTTCTCTCTAGGTGTCTACCTTTCGTCAGAAATAAGATTTTTCAATTGGTGTATTTCTGCTAATGCTCGTTCATCGTACGGTTCACTGAATAGTTTTGAGGGTTCTAAATCAGAGCTATTCATTCTAAAGTTTTGACTCTGCTGAGAGTAATACGCTACTTATACCTACTTGTCCCTTCGTAAAGTTATTTTTATAAGTCTATGAAAGCTCTATCATGGGTTGTACTCTGTAATTTATGCACAGGTACAGCCCACCATAAAATAAGAAGTAACATAAGACGCTCAACGTCACCATATCCTCTAGATGTCTAGTTGCTTGGAATGTAGCACACTTTCCATCAGGTGACCTGGCTGCTCATTTCCTCTGCCCCCTCTTCGATAAAAGAAATGGAATCGAAACTATCAGCATCTTTTAATCTGCCACCTATTGTCTCGTTATCAAAACTTAATGAGAACGGCGTATGGCATTTCATCTTCTTCATTTCGTAGAGTTCATTTCTTCTCTGCGGAATACAGAGATTTATTGGAAGAAATGGACTCTGAAACTCATTTGAACTATTTTTTTGAACTCTTTTTTTTAACAGCCGTCATTCGATGATCACACATAAATCCAAAAAAAATATTCCGTCACAAATACGAATTTCAAAATGCCAATTTTTATAATTCCGAATGGTTAAAAATTCCTATTTTATAATTCAAAAATTTAAATATTCCTAACATTTATAATTACTATGCTCAAAATACCGAGTTTTAATAGATCGAATAACAAAAAGTCCGACTTAATGATAATTCAAAAGATCAAAAAATCCTAAAATGATACCCAAATAATTCACCAACAACAGAGGGGATCTGGCGCTGGGCGGCCGCTGCCGCAACCCGCTCGCTACGCTTGCTCGCCTTCGCGCTTTAATGGTCACAGTTCTAACCTAAGCAAAGAATTTAATAACAGTAGATAGTACCCGACGCAGGTATATGTAAGGAGAAAAAAAAAAAACAAAAAAAAGACACAAATATTAATACCAAAGTAGACGTTTTTAAATTATCTTAGTTTTAGCAGTTTATTCGAAGTATTAAAAATTGGAATGCTATTTTTCGAACCTAGAACCAATCGAGTATTTGATTCTCCGAACGTATAAAATTCGAAAAACAAACACATCGCATTCACGACTTTCGTTAAATAAATTTCGTGAATTTAAAAAATAGACATTATAATTCTTATGTATCATATTACTTATTAGGACTTTTGAAAATCGAACATCGACATTTAAAATTCGGAATAAAATATTTATGATTATTTGGGTGTTCCCATTCGATAGTCTTTTATAAATAAGAGACAACCGATGTTCACGTTGTTCTATAGTTTCTTTTGGCAATTTACTTTATAAAGAATTACGCATTTGAGAAAACCTTTCTTCACCTTCTTCGAAAGACCCTCCAAGACGCTGTGATCTATTTCTTTTTCTATTAAGCTGTATAGGCGCTTATCTTTGTCATCACCCAAGGAAGGTCTCTTTATCATGTACCACCTACTCTACTATCTATTAATTTAAATAAAATATTAAATGTACTCTAGACACCTACTGATGTGTTTAAAGTCGGTGCCAGATCAAATAAAAATATAGAGAACACTTTCATTCATCAAAGTGTTCTCTATATTTATTGTATCGATCTATAATTACTTGTAAATTCATGTTTGCCTATATAAGCATTTTTACTTGAGTTATAATGTAGTCAATTTTTTTTGATAAAACTTAAACAATTAACAAATGAAAACGTAAATAAAAATATATATTTTCACAATTTCAGATAAATGAACGCTAAAGAGCAAAATGGCAAGATCATTTCAAAAAAGAAGAATAGGTATGATCGTATTATTTATTTTATGTGGAACAGCTGATGTTAAATGCAGTTTACCTATCGACTTGGCTTCTGAAGAAAAAGGTCGGTATAGAAATTGTATTTTTAAATGCGTTTCTTCCCTAAAACATTTAGGCAAAATTATTCTATTGTCGTAGTATCAAACAAGCGTATTTCTAAGAAATCCCAATTTAGAATGTGTAGTAATCAACAAAGTAACTGTGACATAAACAAAATAAATAACTACTTCCAAAGGAAAATGGTTGTGCAATACAACAAATCTAATTTAACAGTTGCGTCGTTTCTGAACATGTTGTCACATCTTATGTTTTTATGCTTAGACAACTGTCAAACATTTCTAAGGGTTTCCGTGTCTGAAGTAGTAAACGCCCTAACGAAAATTACAATATAATGTACGTAACAGGAGATATAAATATTACTAAATAAATCAAACACAAAATGAGCTAATCTAAAGACAAAAATCCTGTTACAAAAGTAAAAATTTGAATCTTTTAATCTTTAATTTTTCAAATGTCTTTAAATTATTTAATTATGATTCCAGATATGTCAGATATGGGGCATGAATTTTTTCATTTTTGTTAGTAGGTGATTTGCACTATAACAGCCATATTACAGTTTCTTTGAATAATAATTCCTTGGACTTAAAACAGTCATGGTTATAATTTATTTAAAATCTACTAAGGTGTTGTAGGACTTCAAGTGTGTCTGTCAATTAATTACTTGACTTGCATGCCCTATACAGACTACTTCGGTACTTATTGTGGGTGGACGAGGTTCAGTACTCGATAATGGCAATGTGTACTTATTCATCACAATTCTTTGAATAAGATTAAGATTACAAGAGAGATCATGTTCTTTCATGTTTCTGCTGCAGTAGTTAAGAAACATGTAATTCTGGAATCAAATGTAATAAGCTTACTTGTTTTCTTTTTTATTCCAAAGGAGTCGTGTACCCCTTTGCTACGCCTTAATTTAATCCTCAAGGATTTGGTTATTTTTAAATTAAAAATGTCTATAATTCTCAATAATTGAAAAGGAACTACAAGAAAACATGGCTCTTAAAACAAAAAAAACGTAGTAACAATTCTTCCTTGATTTACAGTGCTACCGCCAACATCATTACCTCTAACTTCAGCTTCATCGATCCTCACAACTGTGAATATGTCAACATCTACCTACGTCACAGCCATACCTCCTATACCTCCGAGTGACAGAGACAGGTTCCTTACATTCGCGGAGTCGGGACACCATCAGACATTCATGTTTGCCAAGGACAATACCTTTATACAATTAGATGGTGATATTATACAAAGGTTTCAGTTAAGGTAACGTGTTATTCTTCATCTATACATATATATTCTTACTACTTAATTTTATTTTATTTACTCTATCACTATCATTTACCTGCAGTCTTCACTAAAATTAATGGCAATTTTGACATGAAAAATATCTAAATATAAGTAGCCTATGTGCTATTCCAGCCTCTAATCTATCTCTGTGCAGTATTTTATCCTGATCCATTGAGTCATTTTCGTAATAGAGGAACAATCAACCATACATCCATCCCACAAACTTTTGCATTTATATGATATTATGTAGTTCAGGCTAAAAATTTTACACTTTGTAATGCTTTTTCAATCACTATTTTTAATAAAATAAAACAGTATTAATAATGAGTTCATTTGCGAAACAGTCAAACATGTATCGGTACACGATTTTTTTATTATTTAACGTGACTTAGTCAAAAGTTACATTTCGCTTTTTGGTTAATAATATGTGACGATAACAAGTTCAATACCTACTAAATGAATGAATTCTTGAAATACCAGCAGAACTGTCGGTAGGGCAAAATTTCGTAAAAAAAGATGATAGAATGACAAATAGAATAGGCGAAAGCAAACTGTTTTATATTTTATGGTATAGATATTATAAGCCACGTTCCGACTCCTGCATAAAAATGTTGATTCATAAGGCTGTAAGGGACATCGCACCGAATACTGAAATAGTGTATTCAGACCGTGAATCTGAAATTTTCTGCAAATCTGAAAATTCATCAATCATTCATTCATTCACAATTCATCATCAAAAATTTCCATTTTTTCTGGTTAAAATGATCAAAAATGATATCACAATGAGTAGACAGAACATTTCATCGAAGACAATTTAATGACTACCAAAAAACTGCAATATATTTAATCCAACAGCCGAAGCGCGCGGGGTTAGTGTTAGTGTGCGTAGACCATTTTGTGTAAGTGTGCGTAGACAGTTTGCATGTAGTTATTACTTTTGTGAGATACCTACGGGGAATGACCTTAACCTTTGACAGCTGATAGCATAAAAAGTTTAATTTTACGGCAAAAAAATTCCAATGATTTTCGACTCAAAATCATGGTCTGAATACATTATTTCAGTATTCGGTACGATGTCCCTTACACCGTGTATACGAGTATATATAGGTACAATTTATGTGCAGAGTACAGAACTTATCAACATAGTAACTAGACTACAAATACATAATACCTCTTACGAGACATCGTCCTGCTAAATTGACAACTACACTTATACGTCGTTGATATATCAACATTAATATTTGACAGGCGGTTAGTGATACAAACATTATTTTGTTAGGAACGTCTAGAACGTATTTGACCAATTGGTATTCTTGTTAATCGAGTAGAAGGATTTCTCAGAGCAGTTATTCAATTGAATTTAAAACGGTTAGGTATTTTAAGAAAAGATCTGAAATTTAAAAAAAAAATACTTTATTAAATTATAAAGTATAGGTGACCGACAAATAACTCAGAGCCTTCAATTTACTTTTCATAACTTTTATTGATTGCATAACTAAATATTTAAACAAATACATTTTATTTTAAACATTTTCATGTACAGCTCAATTTGCCGAAACATTTTTAAATAGTACATTTTTATAAAGCTATTAAAATCAGACATTGCATTATTTAATTTCTAGATTATGCAGAGAAATATCATTTAAGTTTCGGACAAGGCTCCCGCATGGCCTACTTGTGTACCATAATGTTAAAAATCCAGTTTTTAAAATGCAACCTTATGCATTATACGTAATTGTTGAAAAAGGTGAACTAAAAGGTAAGCTGCATTTTTTCTTAAATGTTTAATTACTCTAATTTGTAAGGTATTTAATTTTACTTTTCGCACCTAAACAAACCTTGTTTTCATATTCGAAGATTAAAGATAGGTATGAAAATGACTTCTGAAGGTTAATTCTCGCAATAACTAAAAGGTAGGTAGGTAGTAGGAAAAAAACGACGTGAGGGGTCTGTGGACCCGGACCGAAGTTATCTATAGTTACGGCTGTAACAATAGCAAGTGTCGGGAAAAAGTCTTGGCACACATTTTTCGGTCTCGCTCCCATCCTCTCAGAACGTGTAACGCGCGATAAGGAACTGACCTTTTATGACAGGTTGCGAGATCGAGAGTTAATCGGAACTGAATTTTGACCGATCTTTTTTACGAGATCTGGCAGGAGCTGGATGCGAGAAGCCGAAAATCGATCGAAGTGGCATGCAATAGGAGAGGCCTATGTCTAGCAGTGGACTTCGATAGGCTGATGGTGATGGTGATGATGATTAAATAGCTCTATAGGTACCTTTTTAATCTGTATTTTTGTAATCTGGTAACATCATGAGTTAAATAGTAATTAGTAAGTATTATAACCTGATAGATAAATTATCTAGTTAAAATGTACTTTTACCTGATTTGGTATTTTTGTAGGCAACCTTTCTAATTTCCTTTGATTTAAAATCTAGGTTTGTGCTAATTATTACGCATATTACTTAAATCTAACCAACAATTCTTAGGTAATGATTTAACCAACGAGCATAATTTAATTATAGTTAATAGATTAAATAAAGATTCACAAAAACAAGTTTTCAACAACATTCAAATTTTTATTTTTTTATTTTCGCGCTTTGGTCTTGTATGGGAATGTTTTACTGTATATTATTTACAATACGAACCTTTCATGTTATTCTCATAAATATTTTATCAAAACTATTGCCTCTAAGTTATTTGGTTCGCAACAACTTCTCATCCGTACCTCCGGGGTCGACGTCACTTTTTTTACTCCGCCCGTCAAGACTTTCCCATTCAAACGTCCGTCTATCAGGCTCATGTATGTCGATCTGTCTATCTGTTCTTGGTTAATTTAGTATTTTGTTTGTTGAACTGAGATACGCGTGTAGGTACAATTTATTTGTAAGGACGATTTTCTCTAGCGTTTCATGGTTTCTTGTAGATGAATTATAATATTTATTTTAATTATTTATTTATTTTATTCTCCTATGTTGTTGTACAACGTTGTAGCTGAATGAATGCAAATCAAGATAGTAGTTTTATCTTACATAAAATTTCGTATATTACTAAAACACCTAGTTAAAATAATGTTTAAATATAGATATGCTTGTTTTTAGGATTCCGTATTCCGGGACCCTATTACTAAGACTCCGCTGTCTGTCCGTCTGTCACCAGTCTGTATCTCATGAACCGTGATAGTTAGACAGTTGAATTCACAGATGATGTATTTCTGTTGCCGCTATAACAACATATACAACATATACAAACATTAAAAACAGAATAAAATACGGAACCTTTCGTGCACGAGTCCGACTCGCACTTAGCCGGTTTTTTATTTCGTGTTTACGAGATTGGCCCATTCCGATCTTAGAAATAAAAGGATAAATTAAAAAAAACTGAGTAATTACTTCTTAATTTTTACTGTTATTTTACCCGTGTGTATATTCTGTATTGAAAATATTATTCATTAAATTATGGGTATGTAATTTTCTAAATACTTCGTATGGTATCAGTATCAAGTATTCAGAACACACACAACTTACAAAATATATACAGAATATATATAGATAAACACGTACTTTGTTTGATAAAAAATAAGTTAAGCAATTGTTTTAAACTTGTCATTATAGTACATTAATTATATGTTAACGTTGTATTGTTTTATATTGTTGTATTTTGATCCAAAATATTGTACTCTATGTTCATACTCCCTTAAGTGAACTTACTTAAAATACAAGTACACCTATATACACAAGGAGAGATTAGCATAAATACTAGTAATTTGTAAGGTTAGGTACTTCAAAAGAAACCTTGACCATAAATTACTTTTAGAAGTTTACATTGTATTTAAGTTAGTAGCAGATATATTTTGATGTAGTTGCATTTAAACATATTTCAAAAGTTCGAGTTTCTAACACATTTAACTTACATTATTTGCCTGTTCCAGTTGTTCATGTATTTGGTAAACACTTAACATCAGTGACTGTAGGGAGAGCGTTGAATAGAGATCAGTGGCACAGTGTAGTGGTCACTATTGATGTCCACGGAGCGAGACTTATTGCTAAAGTGGACCATCTCAAGGAAGAAGTGTATTTGAAGGTAAGACTATGTTTTATCGATAACCAATTCTGCAACGTTGAGCGGTTGAGAGTTCATTTTGTAATCACTGCAAATATTTCTATGCATTGATCTTAGTGTTTTCTATACAAAATATATATATCTAAGATGTTTTATCTATGTTTACATATATGTATACTTATATCGAGCAGCAGTAGTGGGATGGGTAAGGCATCGGACTTGTAATCAAATGTTTGCGGATTCGAATCCCAATCAGTGCACTAATAACCCTTAGGTTAGGAGTGAATGAATAGGAGTGAACTTATTCACTCCTATAACAAAAATAAATTAGAAGTGTTACCATAAATGTTAGTAATATGTGACCCACGTTCTTTAGTCAGTTTGGGTCTATACAGCGTAAAAATAAATTACTACAAACTACGAAAACTAGTTGTCGAGACATACTCGTATACAGAGTACTGGTTTACTACAATTACAACAAAATATTATTTCTGTGGAAAGTACACAAATAATAATTTTCTCTTGCTTAGAAATTATTGCATTGTATAAATAATAATTTCTTAGTATTATTTGATAAATGAATATCATTGTACCTGTAGAGTTAGGTAATTAAAAGGCAATATGGCTTTCTGTTATAATCACTTCGCTTTCCATATTTCATATTACAATATCTGAAATGTTGTTTATCGTTTTGTTCCAGGGTTTAAGTTTCGACACTAATTACGGAATCACTGATAATTTGACATCTGTCATTCTTATCGGAGGTGAGTTAACTATTATATTGTAGGAATTAGTATAATATAAGTAGTATTGACTGTCTCTAGCTGTAAGGGTAGTAGTAGGTAGTCTCCTTTCTGAGGAGAGGCCTATATCCAGCCAGTAGACTAATAAAGACTGGTGATGATGTAAGGATAATGGTTTGTAAGCGCCGTCGCCGATGGAGGTTCCATCGACGTGACCAGGTTTTGTGGAATCTTCATTACCTATCAGTTTTTCTTGCAGGAGTATTTTCTGGTGGGTCGCGTTACGAACCTTTGGAAATAAGCCCGTCTAATTACGACAGACTGGATTATGTTAGGTTTTACAATATATGAATACATATTTTTGTAACTCCTAGGTATGACCTCTTACTAGGTCATTAGTCATTTCATCTCTGTGGATTTATTGTCCCTTTTTATTAATGTGTTAAGTTATCAACTGTGTTCTAATAATGTTTCAAAGTGCACTAGAACAAAGCGTACTCAATAAAAATGTTTGAGTTTGTAGAACTACACACTTTGACCGTTTATATTTACATGTTTATGTTTTACGAACCTGTCGGTAACCGTTGACGTACTTAGTCAGAATATTTTGCTGTATTCGGTCTTGATTGCTTTTTGTATATTGAGTTAATATTAAATCGGATTTAATTATCTAATTCTAAAACTTAAAGAGGGTTTCAATGCCTCAGACATTCTCTACCAGTCAACCTTGTCATGATGCAAAAATATAATCTTTGGACAACGATATTTATGTTCATGATGCACTTTAATGATTACTGAATATTCATACTTATGTTGCATAAGTATAATCGCCATGATATTGACGATTTTAATCATGTATAGATGTCTCGTAAGCTTTACGTATTTCGTGCTCATAACCAATACTTAGTATTTTATTAAAAACTAGACGTCCCGTGCCACGCTTCGCTCTGGCACATTATGGTTGATGAGAAATGAGAAATAAAACTGACTCGAAAAATAGAAAATAACCATCTTTGAAGCGGCTTGTATATTATGTCAAAGTTTGAGCTCAATTCAGAGCTTTGTGAGTTTTTGAAGCGCATTCAAACTAACTTAATATTTTAATGTATATAGATTAGAAACGAAATAAACCTTCAATAAAAGAGCATTTTTTTTAAATAGACAACGCCTTATTAGGAATATATCCTGTGTCGCCGGGGACTTTACAAACATATATACATGAAACGGACACAAAGAGCACCCCACACTCAGAACAACAATTTGTGGACAACAATCCGTGCAGTCATCATATTCCTTTCTTAAAGGAAAGCGTGCTTGTGAGTTCTGATTCGCAGGGGTTCATGGACCGCAGTAGTCATTTTCCATTAAGCGACCCATCTGCTTGTTCGGCCTCTTTATCATAAAAACTAACAAACCATTAAAACCAGTTAGGAAATGAAACATGAAGGACAAGACAACATTATTTATAATCATCGTAATTGTCTAGTTATCATATTTTGCCCTATATGGGGGTTTGTTCTCATTTAAAACTTGTCAAACTCTATAAAAGGGAAAAGTGGTTCTGTACTTCAGGAAATTGTTTATTATGTGTGATTGTGATAATTTACCGCATTGGCAAACTACCTGAATACTTTCATAACATCATGAAATGATTAAAAACGACTTACCAAGGATATAACTTAACAGTGACTATTCCGAACTTTTTATTCTAATGTATAAATTAAGAATGTATACATCTTATGAATTATTGGTGCGATAGTAAATTAAAGAACATACATTTTTTATGGTTAAGGGGGCAAACGTACAGACGGGTCACCACTAAAAAGTTGTCTAAATTTTGGAAAAAGTAATAGTCGGTAGGTGCAAGGTCTGGTGAGTATGGCGGATGAGGGAGAGCTTCCAACCCCAGCTCTTGCATCTTGGAGATTGTCTGTTGCGCAGTATGGGGTCTCGCGTTGTCGTGAAGGAGCAGTGGGGACGACCGATTGACCAAAGCTGGTTGCTTGGTACTCACCAGACCTTGCACCTACCGACTATTACTTTTTCCAAAATTTAGACAACTTTTTAGTGGGTAAAAAATTCAATTCCCGAGAGGCAGTACAAAATGCCTTTGAAGAGTTTGTTGCCTCCCGTCCAGCTGATTTTTACAAGAAGGGCATCCATAAACTGCCAATGCGTTGGCAAAGATGCGTCGATTGCATGGGTGATTACTTCGAATAACTGAAATAAAAAAGTTTGAAAAAATAAGTACTTTCACTTATTGCATACAAAACGGCAATTTCATAGGTAAAGACCTATTATTTAGCTAATTAACAAGTGCATAGACGTAGTTACGGGTCGACTAATGAGCTGAAATAATAATGTTTCTGATAATGACATTGACGATCAAATGATAGATAAAAATAGTCGTCGTCGATCTGTGGATCGTATCCCTCCAATGACACATCATTGCAACGAAACATCGCACTAACGATGAGTTATTGACGTTTACTGTAATATAGTATTTTTTTAAAAGACAACTCCCGCATTAGGAATCTATAAATATACATGAAACGGACATAAACAACATCCAGACTCAAAACAAAAATTTAGGGATCACTGTGGACTTGTTGTTCACTGCGATGATCGAACTCACAATACTCAGCACAGTAGGAACCGGTGACCGCTTAAACGACTACGTTAATACATAATATTAATACATAAAACAATCAGTATACATTGAGAAACCTATATACACATAGATTAACCATTTCCTTACATTTTTTACAATAAATCTTTAAGGTCTTAGTTCCGAAGAGAAACTCCACGGTGTGAAATACATAATAGAATCATTCGTTGGCTGCATCAGCGACATGGTCCTTAGCTCTGGCAAAGCAGCATCCGATCTACTACCGATAGTACCTCTCATAGCAACTAAACATGAAAACGTTAAAGAAGGTTGCATTGACAAATGCTGGACTATTGAAAACTTGTGCTTCAAAGGTTCCAGATGTATCAATGAATATTACGGGTATAGATGCGACTGCTTTGGTACTTTGTATGAAGAACAACTTTGTGATGTTTTCAGTAAGTATCTTAAATGTCTTTACTTATCTTCAACTACTTTAAACAGAAAATACCAAATAAGATAATAATTTAATTCTCAGTAGAATGGTTGTATATTTATGAAGTAAATAAACAACGTCTAGCTTAAAAACATTTGCTACACAAACTAACTTTAGACTAACGCTATTTCTTACTCAGTTTTGACCTCATAAGTATACATAGTTCTAAAAAATTCAACGAATCACGAATACTGATGAACAAGATTGATCCTTTAATCGACAGTCATAGAAATACTTACGTCGGTACTTTTTTGGAATCAAGGTTGATTGATTATTATATAATCAAAATGTAAACTGTCTGACAGTCTTGCAATAGGACTTAGCTTCAGCCAGGCTTTGTTGGATTTAAGTATTTTTTAAGCAACACCCTGGTCATGTCCTGTCATGTCCATGAATACCTGCTATTTCTTCTTCTGTAGTAATGTCTTAATTACTAAACAGAAAGAAAGAAGAACATCTTTTATTTTTTTAATACTCTTAGAAGACAAAATAATCATTAGGATGAATTATTTCTAGGAAATAATGATAGTAAATAATAATTATGATTAAGCTTAGGCAAAAATTAAAAAAATATATAAAATAAAAAGATTAAATAATATTTTGAAAATGAAGCGAAGTTAAATTAAAGCATTTTATTATTACATAACAATGGTCAAGTAATAATTTTTGTAAAACTGATAACTTCACTTTAACTAAGCTAAGTAATATGTAAAGCTTATCTTAAATACGATTCATCTCTAAATTTAGTAGGTATCAGTCATTATCTGATAAATAAATCTACACTACATTATTATATGCAACAAGAATTTTTATGTATGCATGTTTTATGTGAGATTACAAACTTAATCCAGTTACTTTTTTTATTGGTACTTTGAATACAAAAACAACTGTATGTAAGTAATTATTCTATTAAATCTAGAATTAATCTTACTTGCAAATATATACATAACTTGATGTTTATTAGCCTAATAATTATAATCCGTGCCGTTTAGTTTTATAGGTTCACTTAACATACCAATACTAAATAGGTACTTATGTAACTTTAAATACAAAATGAAGTTACGCAAACTTACTACAGGACTTAGAACTACATCACAACTGATTGTTTACTTTCACTTTATATAAACAGAATTCAGGTTCTATTCATGTATATATTGTTTATCTATTCATAACACATACAATACAATTTCATAATAGCTTTTGAAATTGTAAAGAGTTAAGAAAATGTTTGGATAAACCATAATAATATAGTAGTATAGTATTACTCAGTACAAATAGGATGCCATGCGCAGGGATAAGGAAAATATGGCGAGGAACGTATTAGATATGGGATTTGTAGGGGGCAAGAGAAGAGGAAGATCAAAGAAAAGTTGGATGGTGTGACAGAGGATATGGCTAGGAAGGGATTAAACACTGAAATGACAGAGTAGATTGGAAGGAAAATATATACTGCGCTGACCCCATATAAAATTGGGAAGACAGAATATGACTCAACGCAAATATAGATTTTCTGTTACGGGCGCGAGCCACTACTTCGGCACATTTTGATCGGCTCGCACGTAGTGGTAACCAAGGTCTCACAGAAAACCGGTGTTAAGTTAATCTTTTTTTGCTTTTCACCGAGTGCACGAGGTTATAGGAGGACTAACCTCCTCCACTCCTCCTAATTCTTGGGGGAGATTAAAACGAGAACCCTCTTGTGTCTTTTGAGTTGCCGTTGTGAATATTTGCTGTAGTCATTTACGATCAGGTGTCCCACCTAGTCGTTTGCATCCTATTTTACATAAAAAAGCTAACTTTTAAAGTTTGATGTTATACGAGATAGTTATTACTAACGAACGGTTAGCATTTTATAGGTATAGATCTTGCCTATAAAAACGTCCAGTGCAAACTGATCGAAACTTCAGGCAATTTTAAAATATATAATACCCGTTAATCGTGTAAAGTTTTGTTCGTTAGTAATAATTAAATGTGAATATGATTAATACTGAAATGAATACTAACTAATCTGCTACACTTATCATCTTCTACTGAGTGGCACAATGAGTTTTCTTCTTCCACTCTACTCTATCACTTGCCAGTTTACTACTTACGCCCATTTTAACCATATTTTCTTTTACACAGTCCATCCATTTTTTCTTTGTTTGTCCTCTACTCTTATTTCCGTCAAATTCCATACATAACACTCCCTTCAGTACATTTCGATTATCTCTACGCATTACATGTCCATATCAGGATAACCTTTTGTTTCTCAACTTTTCTTCCAGTGGCGCTACTATAATTAAACAATTACATTATATAAATGATATGTAGAAATTGTTCAATAATAATACACAATCTATTTTCTAACAACAATAACTAACTGCAAATGACGACTCAAGCCAGCCACACAATTTTTAAGATATGTTAAGATTTCACTTGATGAGTACATGTAAAGTTGTAGTAGTAATTATGTTACACAACATAACGACAGTCAAGCGATTTGAGCTTCTGTGAGAATAGCGTAGGATGGGATGAGAAAAGACACTTGCTTTGCTAGTGGGAAAGTGAGCATAAAGGTCATTACCCGCGCTGTCGATACCTATTAATACATACTTTATTTAAAAAAAAAGCTATATATTACTTTGTATTACAAGGAAACTTTACTGACTTGCTTACTTGTATGTTTGTTCGGGTCAAATCTTTCTAATGCTAGAATTTTTGAAACTCTTTGGGTTTGAATGACATTTTTTTTATTTTAAATACAATCACAGCACTAGAAATAAATGCTGTGTCGCGGGGGACTTTACAAACATACATAAAACGGACACAAAGAGCACCCAGACTCATAACAATAATTTGTAGATCACACAAAGTGTTGTCCCATGTGGGGATCGAACCCACAACACTCAACGCAGTAGGATGCGGCGAGGTGAACGCTTACACTACTATGCCATCCTTGAAGTCATGCACACATGTCATTAATAGACATAAATCAATAAAATTTTAAAAAGTTTAGAAAATAGAAATATATTACATTACATTATACAGATTATATAAATATGGCGTTTAAGCTCATTTTCAAAGAGACTTTTACTGCCTACAAGGCCCTGCCCTGCTACCTAATATCTGTTCTAAAAGCAGTTTTACACTCTTTTTGCTGTGCCAAATATATATATTCCGCACTAGCTGCCGGCCCCGGCTTCGCACGGTTAGTGTACCCATTTAAAAAATAAGACTTTTGTTGCAGTCTTTCTGAGTATGCGCGTACAGTACATACATTACGGCGATTCATTTTCATTTATATGTATAGAAAGATAGATTAGGTAGGCATAATACATTCGTCTCTGTGAAACCATGGAACTACACCTTAGTTTAGTAGTTGACATAAAGACAGCAGTGCCACCTGCCGGGATTCAATTGTATTTTTAAATCATCCAGGAAACCATCGAAATACCCATATAAAATTTCAACCCAATCGGTTCAGCCGTTTAGAAGTTATGTGAAAAAGATAAGTACGAAAGGATATTTCTTACTCCTTGTTCTTTTACCCGTTTTCCCGTAGGAATGAAGCATTTTCCCTTGGTAAAAAGTATGTATGAAATATAGAAAGTATCTATGTTCATCAGCGATAATGTCGGCTTCTAATCTATACTAATATTATAAAGCTGAAGAGTTTGTTTGTTTGTTTGAACGCGCTAATCTCAGGAACTACTGGTCCGATTTAAAAAAATATTTCAGTGTTAGATAGTCCATTTATCGAGGAAGGCTATAGGCTATATATCATCACGCTAAGACCAATAGGAGCGGAGAACCAATGAAGAATGTTTCAAAAACGGAGAAAATTTATTACTATTGAGAGACGCAGACGAAGTTGCGCGGGTCAGCTAGTGATAAAATAATTTTTCAAATCGGTCCAGTAGTTTCGAAACCTACTCAATACAAACAAACAAACAATCAAATCTTTCCTCTTTATAATTGTATTAGTGTAGATTTTAATAATCTATTGATTGTTTTGATTACTATCTGAAATATTAACGTAATTTATGATCTGAAATAGTAAAGTATATAGATATACTTAATAGCAACATTTAAGTTAAAATTTAAACGGTTATTGATTCAAGTTTGAATCCAACCTTTTAGTTTCAAACCCTAAATTCACATTAAAATCAATATTTAAAGTGAAACCATGCTGTCTTTCCGCCCTTCCTGTAATAATGTTTTGTACTATTCTCATTTTTTTTGATAACAGATTCAAAATATTATTTTAAAAATTGATATTGGGAATACATATTTACAACAGCCAAAGGAATATTGAACATTGAGAAACCACAGGCAACTTATGTCGCTAAGTAGACATGCCTTACGTATGGATGTTCCATTACATTTAAAGGACGGTCCATTACAAGACAACTATGAAAAATCATAAAGCTGACTAGCAATAGGAATGATAGATCCTCTTTACTAACTTTTAAACTTTCGCGTTCCATGATAATTAATATTATTTAACGGGAATTAACGCGATCTCTTATTTAGGGTATTACATACCTCTGGTTTGCCTGACGTTTCGACCAGGTTGCACCGGCCGTGGTCACAGGCTGACTCACCTGGTCGAAACGTCAGGCAAACCAGAGGTATGTAATACCCTAAATAAGAGATCGCGTTAATTCCCGTTAAATAATATTAAAGATCCTCTTTATTTTACTTTGCAAAGAAATGAAGTCGTATCTTACGATTACTAGGACCTAAAGGCTTAAATAAAGATGTAGTAATCAATCCCTACTTATTGTAAAGGTGGACTATACCGAGAATCAATACGACGACCGCGAGCTATGGTGTAATTTATTTATAACATGCATGTATTTAGAATGATATAAGCATGTTTGTAAGTAGTCCGGTTACCATGGATCAGGCTCTGCCTAGTTTACGATGAGATGTATTAAGTTTTTATTAATTGGCTCAGCAGTCAGGATACACCAGTAGACCAAATGGCTAAATCTAAATATTTGCTTGTCTAATATATGTACTTTCAAGCCAAGACAAGACTATCGAAGTAGTTTTGACTTCCCCCTTCTTGAAGCCAAACTGTCCCCCCCCCCCTCCCCCGCTTCGACGGGCTTCGAAAATCACAAACAGTACTGAAAAATAGAAACTTAAAGTTGGGATAAATATTTGAGTTTTTTACAAAGCAATATTTTTCAGTATATAACGGACGGTATATGTAAATGAATATTTTGGTGTCAAGATTTCTTTGATTTGCAGCGGCGACAGTGCTGACTCTGAGGGGATCGAGTTACGTGTCGTATCGCGTGTACGACTGGAAGGACCGAGTCCACTCCACCAATACTCGCGTCAGCATGCATTTCAAGGTAAATATAGTGTATTAATAATGTACTTATAAAGACGTTTCATATTTAACAAGGTAAAGAAAACATAAGAAATTTACTATTCGATTATAATCATCATCGTCATCATCATCAACAGCCTTTACTAGTCCACTGCTGGACGTAGGCCTCTCCTCAGAAAGGAGGTTTTGGTCCTACTATACCACGCTGATTATAATAAGTAACAACAATTCGTAGTTACTCGTAGTAGACCTTTCAAGACTGTTTCACTCTTTTTCTGGTGGTCTATTTTAGTCTTTACTAAATAGCAATGCCGGAGCCCCGTCTGATCACTACGAACCAAGTCATACAACCCCGTAATCCATACTGCAGTAGAAACGTTTACCTTTAATAAATTTTGTAGTATATTTTTATTCATTTTTGTTTACTTGCTAAATAATCAATTTAAAGTATCACACGGTTCAGTTTAAATCTAGAACAGTCCAGAAAATAAATTTATAATATGCTTGACATAATTAGGTAATTCGTTTAATCGATTGATTCCGATAAACTTTCACTTTGAACAAGATTTTTATGTTTTAAAATGACGGCATAGCTTCGTAATCAGACTTACTACATGTTTAATGGGTATTATTTATTGTTATCGCATCGTATTACGGATATGTAACTAAAAAAAAATTGGAAGCATAAATGTCACATTTTTTAATGTATAAATTATGTAATAACACCATGTCTTTATATCCACAAAAATGCATCGTTTGCATTGAAGCATTATCTGTTTACTTTCAACTTGTATTTTTGTTTAGATTTTTCACTATTCGGACTGTCCTAGGTTTTTTTAGTAAAATATTTTAAGTATATCTAAATTACATAAGTATATTGGCCATATAAAAAGTGGTAGTAGTATTATGGTACATTTTTGAACAACAATTTATGATAATATTGAAAATCAATTTTAAAAAGTTCATATTTTTCCTTTAGCTCTACAATGCCATTAACGTTAAACATCTGTGGTTTATTAAATCTACCTACTTTTGAGAGCGGCTAACATTAGTATCAATTTTGTCAATATTTTTTCCAGAAAAAAATATCCTATGTGTCTATTCCAGACTAAAATCTATCGCTGAGCCAAATTTCATCCAGATTTATTTGCCCTTTTGGCGTAATTAATTAACAAATATCAAGCCACAATTTCGTAATTATAATAGGAGGAAGATGTAGACACAGGGTCCTTAATAACTTGAAAGAGAATATTGTTAAGAAACTTGCCCATAAATATAACCTGTTTATTTACATAATTAAATTTAACGATAATATAAAATAATTAATGCTAATGAGCTAAAATTACTTCTTGTTATGCTCACGTGTAATCATTAAAAAAACTTTTTGCATATATTTAGATTCATCAGATAAATTATAATTATTAATAAAACTATTTCTTTCATAAAAAAAAAGTAAATTTAGTAACATTAAATTAATCACTTGTGTGAATTATTCACATCTTGTACTACTCTATTCTAAAAGCCAAAGAATAAATCTACTCTCTTACGAGAGCTAAAAGGTGTGTGAGCATTTTGTATTAGCCCTTGATGGCGATGAAAACTATTCCTCGTCCTATTTTGTTTGAATGCCTAAATGATTACACTTGATTCGATTATGTTACGTGTAACGTAAAGTTATAATAATTAGAGAAAACACAGTTTATCAAGTTAACATAAATTAAGACACCGGTACCTGCTACCGCATGAAAAGTCGTATGTTTGAACACCATCTATTGTAATATTTTTTTTGATTTAGAGACGGTAAGTTCTATTTCTACATCAGTGTATGTGTTATATGTATATTTCTAAAATACCTTGTTTCGAAGCTCAATCTTTTTATTTGATAGAACAAATCTCTTCGATTATAATGCAAAGTATTTTAGAAATTAATGCCTCAATGAAAATAGAGGATAGTAGAACATAATAGAATTAATTTCACAGACTCGCTTCGACGACTCAGCGCTATTCTACGCAAGCGGTCAGATTGATGATAAACATCACTATATCGCTCTATCGATACATGATAAAAAAGTTGCCATACAAATAGATCTAGGCGACGGCCCTGTAGAGGATTACTTAGGACAAAAAGTCAATAACAATATGTGGCACAATCTCACTGTCTTGCTACAAGACCAAACAATCCAAGTTTACTTAGACAACATAACAGAAACATACGAAATACCAGGTAATGCCAGATACGTATGTATTGATCCTGAAATCTACATATGCGGTGGTCCAGATCTGCACAAAATGAAAGGGCTAAAATCTTTTAACAACTTCGCTGGAAATGTTAAATACGTTTATTACAATGATGTGTCAATATTGTACGAATTGAAGCAAAATAACCCTAAAGTCCATTACATAGGAGTGTTGGACCCAGAATTTGATGAGATAGATATTGAAGTTATACCGATTACGTATCCTTTTGCCACGTCCCATATCTGGTGGCCGTTGAATCAAAGCCACAGTGTAAATTTGAGATTTGACTTTAAAACTAGCAAAAACATGGCTGTATTGGCTTACAGTCAGACATCTTCGCAAGGATATTGGGAGGTACGTCATAAAACAAGCCAGTTTCAATCTTCTATGTAAATCAATGCAACTACTCGTTTCGAAACGCCCCACTAACAGCTATATAAAAACAAAATCTTAAAATAAAATAAAATGAAATTATTTAATATCTCATAAAACTTTGTTTAACTCGGTTAATTACTTAAAATTTACAACGTACGTTAAAACAAGATCGAATAAATTTCACATAAAGACAAAATTTATGTTAGCGACATTTATTGTAATTAATTGTTAAAATTTTGCAGATTTTGTAACATGAGTATTTAACTTAACAGTTCACTGTGAGACTAGGTATACGTACATAAAAACGAAGTAGGATACAGTTAAATTTTAAAAACAACAATAACTAAAGCTTTAATTAACGTAGATTTTAATTTCAATTGAAAGTGTTTATACAACTAAAAGCTCTTTTAGCATATTTAAGTTACTGTGCACGGAATGATGATTAGTAATATCAAACCTTCTAAACTGATTGGAAATCCTTTTTTTATCTTTCTTAGTACATGTTAATGCACGTTGAAAAGCCGAATTTTGCTATTATTTTATTTGTGAAGTCAACTTCTAACAATCTTTTTATGTAATATGATAGATGATGAACACATTTTGAATTTTAGGTGAGAATGGTAAAGGAAGAGATTAGGTTTGAATTAGTGTCCGATGTTGGTAAAAACGTGTCGGTATTGAAATCCGTGAAGTTCAACGTAAGCAATGACTGGCACAATGTGGAGTTGGATTACAGAAAAGGACGGATCAGATTGACGGTAGACCATTATAATAAACAAGTGCAAATGTTTGGTAAGCCGATATATTTAATTAAAAATGAAATTTTGAAAAACGTCATAACTAATAACTGGCTTTAATTGACGTAGATTTTTATTTCAGTTTATAAGACATAAACTTATTCAAACTTTGGTTCAGTCTTGTTATTTTTGCATAATTTTATCTTTTATAATATAACCTTTGACTGCAATGACTGAGGTCACTGGTTCGATTCCCACTAAATTTAAATATTTCATTACACGAAAATGTCTACTTCCATGGGTCTGATTTTATTAATATAAATACACACATATTATTTATTTACACATAACTTTATTAGTTTGGATTTACGTTAAGGATAGTTAAGGAATAACATTATTTATTTCTAAGCAAATATCAACGTAGTTGTAATACTTGAAAAGAAATAAACACTTGTTTACGTCCCAATTATAGAAAGTTTTAAATTTACATCAAACAATTTCTCTTTACACTTTTAAAGTAATTAAAAAATTATTGGCAATTACCCTAGGTTTGGATTTCGAACTTCTAGACAAGATCGTAATAGGCAGCGGTCTCAAATCAGCTAACTTAGGTCTAATTGGCTGCATGAGGAACATAAAAATAAACGGTTTGCTGATAGAGCCCCGGTTCGTTATAATGACCGAGAGAGTGGTCGGTGAAGTGGCTATAGACGATTGCCGATATGTAGATCCTTGTACGCGGCCCAACACCTGCGAGCACGGAGGAATATGTTCTGTTAGGGAGGACCGGGTTATCTGCAACTGTGAGAATACTGGTAAGTTGCTTTCATTTTCACCTCAGGATTTCTATATCTTTATATACTTTCATACTGTTTTAATTATGAAAAGAGCTGAGAGCTTTCTCATGCATAATGTTTTTTTTTTTATTTCTCGAGTTCATTAAAGTGTTTTTTTTTTGTCTTTATATTGTTAAATTGTAATAAATTGTTTACTTACCATTGTCTATGTAAGTGCAAGAATTACAAACGAAGTTTCAATTAAGTTACGACTAATTTTGACAAACACATCCATGGTTAATAAAAACACTCAATTTGGTCCCACATATTGTTGGGTATTTAAAAAGTTCATCCACAGTAAATCGAAAGCTGGTGAACATAGCAAAATGCATGAATCTGACTATCCTAATCTTCCATTCTTCCTTTCGAGATCGATGTTCAACGGTATCATTTAGAATACTAATCAAAATAACACACAAGTTCTATCATTTATGTCCGTTAAGCTTAATATTAAGAGTTCTATTTATGTTTCCTTATTCAAGGCTATATTGGCGAAAACTGTCACTTTGCCACTTTTCGAAAGACTTGCGAAGAACTAGCTCTACTTGGATACACTCGGAATGACGTATATCTAATAGACATTGACGGTAATGGAAAATTTCCACCAGCACATGTCAAGTGTGAGTTCCAAATAGAAGCGGACTCTTCTACTACTGTTGTGGAACATAACTTACCTAGCCAAGTCGTAAGTATTGAATAGAGAAATCAGACACTTCATGTTATTAATGAGAAACAATGATTATTCGTTCATTTAAAAGCTATATCTACAAAACGGTAAATGATAAAATTAAAAAATATATATACTATATACTTTTACAATAAAAAATAGTAACTACGTAACGGTCAAATTCATTTGCATTTACAAAATAAAATAAAGTATTAACTAAATTACACAAACAAACTTTGCTTAAATACACTTATTTTATTGCCAAAAACAACATCCACTAACTAACTAAATTTGACTGACATTAATAAATGAATAATATGGCCGAATGGTTACTTTCCTATTTTGTCACTATATATAACAATACATTTATAAATTGACTTCATGGATGGATGGATGGATTATATTTTGTGTAGTATATTTATGTATATGAAGAGGTAAACTACTAGAAGCTTCTTAATATTTATAATGTGTTGCAGGATGTCCGGTCAGCGATAGGTCAAGACTTTAGTTTTAATATCAAGTACAGAGAATTCACAGCCGAAATGTTACAAGAACTGATTTCCCACTCGTTGTACTGCCGTCAGTATATTAAATATGATTGCATGAAAGCGCCCTTAGAGTTACACAGCGCCACTTGGTTTATATCGTCGTCTAACAATACCGTGGACTTTTTGGGAAGTGTTAAAAGGTAAGGCAAGAATTAAAAAAAAAAGACGTGTGGCACTCGGGGACTGCCGCGGTAAAGCTATTGCATGGCATTTTTTATCAACTTATGCAATTATAATTATTTATTCATTTTATTTATGCAGTATTTTTTTTCCTTTGTTTGTTTGTTTTCTTTGATATTAATTCAAGTTACACTTTTTGAGCGTGGTGACCGATAAGAAAACAATTTTTTTTCTTTTATCAAATAAATGAGAAGTTAAAATTGTTCAAAATATTTTTATTATCTTACAATACATATAGGTTATTCAGGAATATTTATCATTAAAAGTATAGGTTTATGGTAACTGAAATAAGAAACATAAGTTTGAGACTTGATATCTTCTAAATATCTGGCGAATCCACCTAGAGGCGAGTTGCTGAACTGAACTAAAAAAGAGAGAAGCGTGATATTTCAAAAAAGTCATTAAAAGTTCTGCTATTCATCGATAGATGGCAAAACTAAAAATTATCACCGCTGTGCCGGTCGGAGTGGCGGGGGTTAGGTTATTTTCGTTACGGAATTTCTGGATTCGGTCACCACGCTCAAGGCCCGCGATAGAAGCTATGCAATAGCTTAAAAACTTATTATATTTTTAGCTGAGAAAGTTGGTTAAGTTTTGTCCTCCTAAATTTTGTCAATGAGATATTTTTGGAAATAAAGATGAGAATGTTCTGGAATATATAAAGAGGTATCGAAGATCAGAAAGCAAAGGTAATGGAATATAAGGGATATTGTTTTTATAGAGGAATGGGGTATATATTGATGACACAGTAAGTTTTAAATATAGATTTTAAATAAATTAGAGCCCTTTAAATCTATGTGTATATAAGTAGAGATAGAGCGTTATAGATTTATGAGACGTTAAAAGGATTAATTACATTACTAACATGCATTGTTCCAGAGGCTACTGTCCTTGCGGAGTAAACGCGACGTGCGTAAATGCCTCCAAGTCATGCAATTGTGACTCTAATGATGATAAATGGCACTCGGACGAGGGGACCTTCGTGAAGCCAACCAGTCTGGGTATAACCGATATGTACTTTCTGCAGCAGAAAGATTTACCTGAAGATGCTCAAGGTAGAATTACTTTGGGGCCTTTAGAATGCGTCGAAACAAGTGAGTGACTTCAACTTATTATTCTAAAACAGATAACTTCCAATTCAAGCTTTGAATCATGTAATTATATTACTAATTAATATTATTTGTATTAAATTTGGCCCGTTTGTATAGTGGTTAGTGACGCTGACTGTTAAGCCGGAGATCGTGAATTCTATAATTCGATTCCCATTCAGAACAAATATTTGTGTGATGAACACGATCATTTGTTCTGTCTCTGGGTGTAAATTTTCTATAATATGTACATATGTACTTAGAAATATATAAGTATGTTTATCAGCAGTCTCGTTACCATAGCACAGGCTCTGCCTAGATTGGGATCAGATTGCAGTGTGTGATATGTGTAAATTTATTAGGTCCAGATAAATTTACGAGTGAATTGTGACTTGCCTTTAAATTTTTATATCAATAACGTCAAATAAAACGTTAAGTATAAATGTAAATCTCAATATCAAAAATAAATAAAACAAATGGATTTAAATAATTGTAATTAGAATCATTCGTATATTATTTCATAACGTATGTCTAATTTGTTAAATATTTTAAATTTTACACTCATTTTTATTATGTTTGCTTTTTAAGTTACAGGTAATCTCGTCTTGTATCACCTATCTAAGAAAAAAACTGTTAGTGTTAGCTACTTATAAGACTAACTTTTGTGTTATGTTCTGTTTTGTGTGCCTAAAAAAATAAATAAATTTTGTATTCACATATACTTTATACGATATTAAGTAATCGTTAAATAAGTTTATGTTATCTTATAAACGATTATCAGCAAAACCATGTTAAACAAGCGTAACAAAGCAGTTCATGCACGATATATGCATATTAATAGACGTTTTATAATCATCAAATATTGAATTCAGATACCCAACGCTATGTGGTAACATTCACAACATCACAGTCGTACATAGAGGTGCCAGGTTGGAGGAAGGGAGACATCGCGTTCAGTTTTAGAACAACCGGTACAAGCGCCATCTTGCTGTTCCAACCTCCCATCAGGCCTAATTATCCTTCATTCATGGTCGCTTTAACCAGTGGTAAGTTTATCTTTTCAAAGAGATTATTGTTATATATTGTCAAAAAAGCAGTTAGTTAGTACTTCAATCGCAGGACTGTTCTTTCGTTTGTTCTGTTACTGCAGCTACGCCTGTGGCGTCATCTTTCTTACACAAATAAATTTTAGGGTCATGTAGCGAATGCCAGCAAAACTAAGTAGTAATTATTGCTTCTGCTATAGTTATCACGTAAATAGTTACTAAATTATAAAATACCCTTAATTTGTATTATGTAATTGGCCGTGATACGCCTTGTCATGATCACCAAACCGAAGATTTAAAAGACATCACAGAATATGCCTCTGCGAGCTTAAAGTACTTCCTCTTTTATAATTCTTTGTTCCTGACCAAAGTAAAACAATATTTAGTAAATAAAGTATACCGCAGGGTACAAATCCTTTGTCCCTATTTTAAATTTCTTCTAATTTAATTTAGCAGAAATCATATCCTTCTAATGTGAATTAAATATATGCTGTAGATAAATGTTTCTTAAGTATAGACGATTTATGAACTTACCAGAACACGAATTGACCTTCAACTTTACACTCAACACGGGAACTACGAGGAAGCTAGTCATCAATTCCAAACGCAAACTGAACGGCGGTGAATGGCACAAAATATGGATCGACTACAACTTCTATCACGTTAGGTTTATGCTCAACACTGAATATCAAATGCTCAATTTATTATTGGAAGAAGAGTTTGGTCCGTTTGAAGGTTCTATGTTCATTGGTGGTGCTACCGCGTAAGTATCATCATAACCTTTGAAATCCGAGTTCTTAAATAGACATTAAACTTATTAACATGATCGAAATATTTGTTAACTTAGTAAAGAATCACAATTCAAAAACATACCGAGTTCACAATTTTAAAGAATACTCAAAAAGAAAATAGAAATAAAATGGAAAAGTCAAAACAGTGTGCAGTGTAAAAAGAATAAACGCTTTTGAGATAGGTGCTGATCGTGACAAATCTTTGTGTTCAATTTCCCTTCAACTCAAGGAAAATTTAATGCCATAATTAATTTCAACTTGAGATTTGAACTACTTCATCAAGTACACTGTGCTCGTCATGTTAATAGGTCCAAGTTGAGTCCAAGTCATGAATTAAAATTAAATCTCCATAACCGATAAAGTAACAGTAAGAATTATAAAAAAAGGTAAAAAAAAATAAGTGATAAAGAAGCTTGGAAATGAGAACGAAGTACCAAAGTAATATATTTCTTTTAGGGAACATCTAAAAAAATCAGCAGTAAATCAAGGTTTAATCGGCTGCTTTAGAGGTTTGGTAGTAAATGGTGAAATTTTAGACATCTACAGTTACATGTCGGTACATTTATCCGAGATCATAAAAGATTGTAAGCCTTCCTGCGTACCAAACCCATGCCAGAACAAGGCCATCTGCAAGGAACTGTGGTCGAGCTACGAGTGTATTTGTAAGAATCCCTGGGCTCATCTGGGGACACATTGTGAGGAAAGTGAGTATAAACTCTTTTATCTTGCTCCCGTGTATAAAATAATGTCAAGAAGAGAATATGCAACGTTTTAGTCTAATCTATAAAAAATTGTAAAATATTTGAATAGCTGTGTTTACAGATAAACTTTATCTTTCACATTATATTTGCCTTTAGTAACCCTTTGTATTTTATTTGAGATAATTTAATTAAACTGAAAATTCAACAACATTTAATATATTTACTATCCAAAATTAAACCAAATATACTAAAGTATGCTTTGCCTTGTTTCTAACTATAACTTTTACTTAATAAGTTTATTAAGCGTATTACCATTAATAATTAAATAATCCATATCCACTCAAAAGACCTCGTTACTATAAACCGACAAAAAGCTGGAGCTGGTTATTAAATGAACCCGTATGACTAGCACGGATGGCATAGTGGTTTAAGCGGCCATCTCGGCGCTTCCTACTGCACTGAGTGTTGTGGATTCAATTTCCTCATGGGACAACACTTTGTGCGATTCACAAATGATGTTCTGAGTCTGGATGTTCTTTGTTTCCGTTTAATGTATGTTTATACAGTCCTCCGAGACACAGGATGTATTCCTAGTGCGGTATTTGTCTTTAAAAAAATATATATGTTCATTTATAACCATCTATTACTATTACTTTTAGATATAAACGAAAAGGCTTTAACATTTCAAACAAAAGAATCGTATCTCAAGAAAAACTACTTAGTTGATAACGCAACGGATATAGAAAAGAATCGTTTGAAAAAAATGATGACAGAAAAAGTACTCATGAATTTACGAACATATGACGACAATGCACTAGTACTATACGCGAACGATAATCTCAACAATTTCATACACTTATTCATTCATAATGGTACTGAAATTATTTATCTCTTCAACGATGAAGATGAAATTATTCAAATGAATGTAACGTACCAAAAGATCAATAAAGGTGAAAGCGTGCAGATTGCTATCATAAGAACCGATAATACCACAACGTTACATGTAAATGAAAAAAATACAACGATTGAAAGAACGGCAAAGCTCTTAACTGATTACACCAATAAGCCTTGGATAAATCCTGAATTAGGTAAGTGCTAATTATTTACTGACTCTTTTTAAGATGGAGTGCGTCGAGGTCTGCATGGAACTACAACATAGATATTTGTAATGAGAGGGGATAATATAACGTGCAGGCAAGTAAAAATATAGTTTAGCGTCAAGTTCAAACATTTCACCCATTTTCGTTACAATGTAATTCCTGTGAATGGGTTTAACATGAACATACTGACCGTTTTTGTGCCGTAGGTAACTATTTTCAAAGCTCATCATGAAACCCTAGAAATATAAATATGTGAATTTAAATAACATCTTACGCATGTTAAAAATACGATTTTAACTAATATCATTAATTTCTATATCACTAAATTTTCTCCCTTCAGAGGTAATTCGTCCACAACGCCCTCCAGCTCCTCCGACTGATTACTTCCAAATGAACTTAGGAGGCTACGACGCATACTCTCTACATTTAGCACCAAGAGCCAGTTTACTCCCGCAGGGAGGTTACGTTGGCTGTGTAAGAGGGTTCAAGATAGCTGACCACGTAGTTGATTTATCTAGGAAAGCACTGGAGGCTACTGATCAAGGTAATCAATCAATCATACATATACATAACATATATACATCGACATCATCTTAACCTTTTCTAAATTTTATTGGAGGTCGATGCAGTAAGATTTCTTCTTCAATTCTCCTTCATCGCTCAACATCCTCTTTCACGCGCTCTTTTATTTCATTGCAAAATGGTTTAGGCTTTTTAATTTGGAATTTGGCCCCTCCATGGGAATGTAATCGTTCTTCGTACATGATATGGAGTTAAATGCATATTCAATTTTATAACACTGGGACATAGATGCAATATAAAAAGAGTGCATCCACAAGGGTTCTTAGACCGGCGTTCTTAGCTTTGCACAGTCCTTTTAAGTGATTGTAAATAAATATGAAACTTTTAACCAAAATCAAACAATACTCGTACATATAAAATAAACGTAACGGTTAACATCATAACAAGCAATGACTTAGAAATGACCTTAACAACCACAATTACCAAGAGCCATGGCACTGTAGTGCATTTTAATTTTACGATAGTTTAGCCCGTATCGTCTAACGACCGTGATTAGCTTATCGGTACACAGTTCAGAATAGTTGGGATGCGCGCACTATACCGATGTGTAAGTATAGACGAGGAACAAGTCGAAAAACTTGTTTTTTTTTATCAAGGTTTGCCAACAAATGTTTACATCAAAACTTGCAATATACACATGGTAAAGAAAAACATTGTTAATGTAACAATAACTTATAGGTAAACACCGCTTTTGTAAAAAATTTACATACATTAAAGATAAAAAAATATAGACTCAACAATAATCTTAAACTACATGCAGTTTACATTAAATTAAATCAAATTGATTGTGGAACTGCATCCGGTAAACAAACAATTACTTTGGAAATTGATCCAGTGTATGTCCAAAGCATCACTAAAATTATTTATGATCTTGGACATTCTTGCATACGGAGAATTGGTGCCAAGAACTGTTCTTCTAAGGGGCAGACAAAGCGATGGGATAGAAATACGCGGAAGCCGGTACACGAAACTTGAAAAGAGCCTGTAACTGGGACTGTCTATTTTCTGGTTGAGAATTTTACAAGCAAACAATATGTCATTTAAGGTTCTACGTTTCGTAAGCGCAACGTAGAACCATCATCATCGTATCATACCAAAGTGTGAAAGTTTACTGTTATAGGAACGTGTATAAAATTGGTTACGGCAATTTTTCCGTCTCTTTTAAACAAATCGCTCCTACAGTTTGCAGAAAGGCAAAGAGAAAAGATATACATAAAAAATCCATTAGTTTAATGTCCATTTTGTAGATCTAACTGGTGTACTAGCAAAATGCAACATGAAATGTGATTCAGAACCTTGCAAGAATGGTGGAGTTTGTACTGAGGACTTCACGAACCAGGAGTCGAGCTGCGACTGCGAACTAACCAGCTACTTTGGTGAGAACTGCGTCGAAGAAAAGGCAGCCGATTTTAATGGAGAAAGCATTTTGCAGAGGAAATTTATCTTACCTGGTCCTGTGTTGAAGGTATATCTGTGGTATATTAAGAAAGTTTTACACCGTACATTTACTTTAATAAAATGTATATACCAAAGTAAAACTTACCTATTTAAACAAAAAAAAGAAAAATAATATACAAAATAATGTTTTTACAGGTCAAAATAAAATTGGCATTCTCCAGCAACGACCTGCGACAAAAGAACACAGTCTTGTTACTAGTTCAAACAGAAAATAAGTAAGTACATCTTGATATTTGTAAAGTTACATTAAATTGGCGAACATTTTCTAACTAATTACAATATATTTTCAGACGTAGTTATTATTTACTAGTTGCTATAACACAAGATGGCTACTTAAAATTCGAGGAGAACCGGGAGGAGGAAGCCTATGGAGCTGAAGTTCAAAGTAGAAACTTTTTGAATGGTAAGTTTTATTTTATTTTAAGGGCAATATTTACATATTCATAAAATATAAAGATTAGTTGACAACAACGAAAATAAACACACTCTTTATTATATATATTACTTAGTAAGAAACAGTGGCCATTGCTTACTAAGTTCCTTTGGATAGAAACATTATTATAATGGAAATGTACATGGTGCATTTAACTGGTGCACCGCTAAATACCTAGCTTTTTGAAATTACGTAAATGTTAAAATAAATGAATTACACAAACATGCTAATGAAATTCACTTTGTAAATTTGACTATTTTTTTTAATTTATAATCGTTACGGGTAGTTGGGGCCATAAAAACTCCGACAACAGTCTCTAGTCGAAGTTCTATAGACAACATTACATATCGCCTAGAACTTGGGTTGTGGCAGTCTGATGGCAGTCGTTCCACGTAAAAAATGGAGTTCAGCCATGTCAACCTAGTAAAGTTTGAGAAAGGTTCGGAGAATGATATCATACCATTAATCCACACTCAAAAGAATTTCTTACCAAATAGATGTTACTAATTCTATGATTTGATTTCGTTAGGAGCCCGCCACACAATCTACTACACTCGTACAAACCAAGAGGCAAAACTTCTGATAGACAGAATAGAAGTACCCCTTCAGATAGTTCCTCCACAAGTCGTGTGGGACGTGTTCGATGTTGGCTCCAACGAGGTACAGGTCGGGGGACTTAATACTACTGATCCAAGGTTAAAAATTTACAAGGGATATAATGGATGTCTTTCAAGTAAGTGTTGATTCCTGATGATACTTTACCACTTACATTGTTAAATGAAATGTCAAAGAACAGTAAACTCTATGTAGATAGATTTAAAGTAGCTTATGTATACCAATGACGATGTCCGTCATTTTAATATATACGCGTAATATTTTCATGCTTTATGTATATAGTACAATAGCGTTATCGTTAGAATAATAATATCACTGTTAGAGACAATACTTTTTTTTAAAGAAAACATTCAAAATCTTGTCTGTATCGCGCGTGATTTGGGGTTTGGCAGAACAATTATTTTTTATTTTCTTAGTTTCTTGATTGAATTAACCAGTTATAAGTATTGAGGGTTTGTTTCTGTAGTCATTTAAATAACTTGTTATAAAGAATATTGCTTATAAATGTACCCGTATTATGTTAAATACGTTTCGAGTTCATAATATATTTTCACAAAACCTAAGGACAACCACGTCTAAAAGAATTCGATTTAACTACCTTCTGCTAGTTCTTTCAGTTTTTTTATTTTATTGCAGACATTCTTGTAGAAATAAATGAATATGAAATGAAACCGTTAGAAGAATACATGTTGTTCACTCGGCTCAATTCAGCCGAAGTGAACGCTGTTAACGCGCACGGTGTGCGTTCTGCTCAATGTTCCACCGACTTCGACGAAGCTTGGCCTGAACATACGCAACTGGCTACGAGGAATGGTAGTTTTCCTGTTGTGAGTATTCATTTACCTATCAACTAGACACTTTTAACCATATACGGGAATTAACGGGATCACATAACAGTGCAACCTGATCGAAACGTCAGGCAACGAGGACCTAGTGTAAGTTAATTACAGATCTACTTGATCGTCACGTTAACCACGTTTGGCATTGCGCTTCACATCAACAGCCTTTAATAGTCCACTGCTGGACATAAGCTTCTCTTTAGAAAGAAGGTTTTGGCCTACTATACCACGCTGGCCAGATCGGTTGGTATAGGGTTTGTGTCAAGTTTTCCTTCTCTCTGCAGTGCTGCTGTTCTGCGTAGTTTTCTCCCTTAGTCGGCTCTTACGACACCCACGGCATGAACAGGGGTGGTGACACTCTGTATTCTGAATCTGTCACCACACGGATGCGCTTAGTGATGAAATAAACTGCGGGCGGTGAAATAAACTCACACAAGGCTCTCTATATGCAATTCGTTTATTCGAAAATTAAAAAGTTAATAAAACTTGACCCATTTTTTTTTGTTTTCATCGTGTACAAAATTGCATCTACAGTATTTAGAAAGATCTTCAAACAATATACAACTAAACCAGTAATTGACTGTTAATTCAAATTTTTTTATTTTTATTTAAACGTGAACACGCTAGGTTCTACACACCCATATATTTTTGACGTGATACTTTTAAAGTCAAATCAAGGCGTTTTAAATATTGGTTTAACACTTAATTGCCACAAAAAATACTACTACTACTTAAACAAAAAATAAACTCTAACACACGTTATAATTTTCAGAGCGTAGACAAAACGTGGGTAGAAGATCCGCCCTCACGCAACCCTTACGAATCATTTTACACGCCACCCGACACTGAAGAAGAAAACACAGACAAAATTTTTATATCACTAATAGTTATTTTTATAGTAGGGTTGTGCTACACTGGATATCATGTAAGTACTCTTTTATCCTCGTCTCAAAAGTCAGGACGCAAATTGTTTTTATAAGATGTTTTCACTTCTAAAGTTAGAAGTTTTATTAGAGAGCTTGAAATAGTCAGTTACGTGGGGTCTAAATAAAGTTGATCTAATTACTCAAGACAATTCACATAGGGCCGTCTGATCCCAAACTAGGCAGAGCATGTGCTATGGTAACCAGAATGCTGATAAACATACTTATACTTATATATTTCTAAATACTTAGATACATATTAGATAAATTACACCCAGACAAAGGACAAATGATCGTGATCATCACACATTTATTTGTTCTTGGTGAGAATCGGGCACCGCTGACCGAGACCGCTGGCTTAGCAGTCGGGATCGCTAACTTGTATCACTACACAGTAGGGATAGACTAAGAACACAATCACCTGTGATAAATCATATGACTTACATATCACATAATCACACCTGTGACTAATTTACGAAACAAATGCGACTTAATATAACGCTAGCGCTAGACTCGCGAAAGGTCTAAATCTTAACAAAAGGTCGTAATCTTTGATAAAAAGAATTTTGATTGATTTTATTGACATTTATCTTTGTCTATGACCAAATCTCCGTCACAGGTTAAATGGCTGTAATTAAAACCAATCATTTCATCATATAAATATGATTTAAAAGCGTGTAGCAATAATTTCCTTGCAGATACTATGGGAACCGTTTACCAGATATTTGTTGTTTATGACTCAGTAATTTGAACCCACATAAGGTTTTGAACACGTTGTTTTTGTATTTTCTGCACCAAGGGTAGCATTTAACTTAACTTTAATACTTTCATGGTGAATTCCATTTTGTCGTCTAGATGTGGCGAACACACAAAGCTTACAAATTGAACCTGGAAAAACAAACTGATGAGAATATTATGAGAAGTAAAGAACAGGCCACCAAACTGCAGGAGCCAGCGATATCGTTCATACAAGTAAGTCAAAACGTCGACCATGAACAGAAAATCAAAGAACACAACACCAGGACGTTTTTTTTAACTTCACACATCTCGAACGGGCCTCTGATATCCCAAACTATCTAATGGTAACCAGACTGCTGATAAATATTTTTAAATATTTCTAAATACACACATTTCATTGATAAATTACATCCACACACATGTCCTGGGTGGGAATCGAAAACACGACCTCTCGTTACTAGTCGGAATGTAAAAAGTAAAGTTATGTTGCAACTAACTATAATTACAGATAAATAAAGACACTGAGGATCCGATAAAAACCATTGATAAAATAAATGGTGTAACTATCGACGCAGCTCCAACTGTCATAGTCGAGATATCAACAGAGAGCCCTGCCAGTAGAAAAGGATCCTTGAGATTTAGAGGTAAGTGTTTAAGGGGTCATCCATGAGTTACGTCACAGAAATGTCATAAATACCATACTATATATAGAACTAATTTATTTTGAATTGAGGAGGAAAACTTGAAACAAAGGTACTTGGTACAGGGCCAACCCGTCTGGCCAGCGTGGTATAGTAGGCCAAAACCTCCTTTCTTAGGAGAGGCCTATGTCCAACTGGACTATTAAAGGCTGTTGATGATGATAGGACCTACACCCCTGTTTGACGTAATTTATGGAGTGCCCCTTATAGTATTGTAAAGCTTTAGGTATGGCAAATCAAGCAATATTATCTTATTAAAATTATATTTGTGACAATTTTCGCTTACTTAAAATTATGAATCGATGTTCATTCTAAAAAGTGAAATGTTAATTAGGCGAATAAAAGAATAGTAGTGTAATCTGGGAAACAATACGCAAAATGCAAGATATAAAAAGGCTAAATAAAAAATATAGGTATTATGATGACGACCATATTGAAATAATTTAAAATAACAAAATCAAAGTTAGATTTCATTAAAATAGAAACGTTGCAGAAACATTATAGACCAAAAAGATTTTTCAAATTTGAACTTAACACTTTTTGTTGTTGTATGCAGATGTTGTTGATAAAGACAGAGTATGGGAGACATTAGAAGAAAAAGATGAGGTGACAGAGAGTGAAAATGACACAGATGTTGAACCTGAAGAAGGCAATGGTCCAGATGAAAACCATAATCAAGATAATGAGGAAACGACCAGCTCTTCATCAGATGGTGAAAAGTATTCGGTTTGTTTATTTTTCGTCATTATTTTTTTTAATTATGCGGCCCTAAAATTATGTTAATCAACACAATTCACTCTCTACTTGAGGTAGTAAAAGATGATCCTGAATAATAAAGTTTTTGATGCAATAAGTTTGAAAATTCGTTCGGTTAGCTTATAGAATAGTTGCTCTAAAAAAATTGAACATTGCATGACTGTCCAATATTATTGCGTTTCCAAAATCTCTTATAATAAATATTATGTATGTCCCATAATTGGGACTGAACATTGTACTACAAGCAATTTGCTATTTCAAGATAATTAGAGGCTTTAAATTTATTTATAACAAGAAAAGTTTTTGTAAAAAACTTTACATTTTAGAACTCCTATCAAGATCTTTCAGTGATTGGCCGCAAGGATCTCAAGGGTCCCCCGACGTTGAACACTCAACTGCCGTACAAGATAGAAGAAGACGAATCCAATGAAATACTCACATCAACTGCTTAGTTACCAAAAATATTTTATAAACTATATAATTGTTTTATTTTGGTCCTATTTAATACATGACACTATAGAAACTCAGGTAATCAATTACAATATAAATCACATTATTGCATTGTTAGGAAGCCTTAGCACAAATCTGAAACGTATTTTAGAATTCAGTAATAAGATGACATAGCTTCCAAATAGTTTTGCGAAGATTATCGTCTCCTAACTTGAGAAACTTTAATAGTGCTGGTAACACCTCGACTTTGCATTCTACTTTCTACATTTCATCTCAACAACACGGCTTATTAATCTCTCAAAAAGCTCTTAATGTCTTAAATGGTTAAATGGACTAGATTCAGTCGAGTAGAAGTATCTATTTCAGACACCAGTTTGTTTCGACTCTCGAAGATGTTTTCATGAGAAATATTGGGGGGGCCGGTATAAAAGGCATCTCCCGTACTATCATCTGCATAGGAATGGATGCTACTAGTTTGCAACATGTCATTGATATGCAGAAGAAACAGCGTGGGTTAGCACACAGCCTTGCGGGACACCAGCATTTTCGGATTTCAAGTAGGAGCATGCACCGTCGGCAACGACCTTTGTGCTTCTGTTCTTCTGTAAATATGTCTTGATAATGCTTACTTACTATTAATTACATACACGATCGTTCTTTTTATTAAGGTTGACCATTGCTAATTACTTATAACTTACTTATACGTATGGTAATTACACCATACGTATTTAATTAGCAAATGTCAACTTTTTGGGTTCTTAACCATGAGAGTAGAATTAAAGTTTGGAAATGTCCAAACAAAGCACCAAGGCGATACAGATTTTTTATTTTTGTGCTACTAAAGAGTTGAAGCTTTTGATTTTCTTAGAAATTATAATAGAATCTGGCTTGATAGCACAACAGATTCTTAATAACATAAAATATCGAAAAAAAAATTAGAAATATCGCAGAATGAAAAACGTGTGCGTCTCGAAACGCCCGACAGAAGTGATAACTTAAACTAATCAGAAAGTTGAACTATTCAATATTGAAATTGTTTAACTTGAGAAAAGCTTAGGTTATTAGTTCGATTTTATGTAAAGCGTCTCTCCGAAATACGGGTAGCGCTGTAGATTAGAGTGAGAGAGGAGGAGCCTGCCTACCGCTGCCGTATGCGTGAGAGAAAGGGAAGCCAGACAGACTGGTGCCGTATCGCTTTACGTAACGAATCGGTTTACCCTCCCATAAGAACTTATCACTTCAAAAAATTTCAATGCAAATTAGAAATTAGAAAAGAAAGCTGCTGAAATCAGACCAACAATAAGTTGACCGAACAAATTCGTACTTATGCTAAAGAAGACGCATGCACAAGAAGAGTGCGAAAGATTGAGTATTGTTTCTGATAATGTATTTTAAGTAAGATAGTCTTTTTATATTTACTTACTACCTTTTAATTTTTGTATTTACTTACTAAATTAAACAACTTCAATAATTTGACTGTTGCTGTGGCTGACATAATGTGCACAAGTTCGCAATAGTTGAGTAGTCATTATTACGCTTCGGAAAATAAATATTTAAGAAGTAAATTTAAATAAAAATGATACAATTAAAAATAGAGGACATTAATTCGAGTTTGCTTAGTCGTTCGTTAACGTTATTCGTTCGCGTATCGAACTTTACTTTGAAACAGCGTTGACAAACTAACTTATAAACTATCGCTTTACAAAATATATAATTATGTTTACAGGTCGGCCAATTCCCAGTCAGTAATTTATTTACATTGATATCATGATATTATTAAATAGATACGTCTAAATGAACTATTAAAAGAACAACGGGCATTTCCCGTAATCCCCGTCTTTGATTGTTGCTTATTGTAAGAGAGTTGCCAATGTTGCCACACAAAAATTCATCTTTGTTGTTTCACTATGAAATATAAATTTAAAACAATAAATCTAAGAACATTAAAAACTCCAATAGTTTTTATCACCCTATCAAATATAGCATTGTAGGTGGTACGGCCTGGTATGTCCCGCTTAATTACGATACTTAGATACGCTGCTGAAAAATTGTTACACCAGTCAAGGCTGGTGAACCACCTTCAAAACTCATCGTAAATGAAAATATCCATTTCTACCTGTTTAGAACTAGTTCACTATAAACGTTGTTTTCACCGGCGAAAATAATTTATTATATATTATATAGTATCATAAATTTTAAGTTTAAAAGTGGCTATGTTTTTACCTAAGTGGCAACATTATTTTGACGTTTTATGACTGATATGTTGTCTATGTTTAGTCGTTTTTGATTTCAGAAGAACTAAAGTTTGTCATAACATGGACGAAATTGAAAAAGAGAAAATAGCAGCATTGCCATCACAATTACTCGTAACGACAATATGTCACCCCATGGAATATGCAAAAGTACTGATACAACTTGGATACGAACCCCTACCGCCGCGCCGGTCTACGACATTGTTCGGTCGCCCTGCCATGATATTACCTAACGTTTTCCAATACATCAAGTTTATTAAAACATCAGATGGATTCTTCGGCTGCTACAGAGGGTTGTCAGCTAGAGTGCTCGGACTGGTTGCCTCCAGTCAACTTACATCAAAGGTAATCTACGCATTGGGCATCGATCTGCCTGAAATCAGCGACCCACCCAATATTGTGACTGACGAAGAACCTAAAATTGAAGATTATATCAAGCTTGGCCGTCGAGACATGATCATGCACACTGCGTCAGTCATTGTTTCCTACCCATTTCATGTTGTATCTGTAAGGATGATGGCCTCATTTATTGGCAAAGAGGAAGATTATTGCTCATTGATAGGTGCTATTGCAGCTATCTACAGAGATGATGGTATACGTGGTTTCTTCCATGGAATAGTACCCAAGCTACTTGGAGATTTAACTTGTGTAGCTGTAACAGGGGTGCTGGCATATTATGTGAATAAATATTTGGTCAAAACTAAAGATCTTCGATACTATACTGTGCCATTGCTCACGTTTGTGACCAGCACCTTAACTTATCCTTTGGTTGTTGTGTCAACCTGCATGGCAGTCGCCGGATCCAGTTTGAGCGCAGGCAATCCTCCTGCCATGCCTAAGTACCCATCTTGGCAAGCTTGCTGGAGGGACCTGCTTAGAAATAAGCAGCACAAGCGAGGTTCCTCTCTTATCTTTAGGTACTACATTGCTCCAATTGTAGCTCTGCAGTAGTGGCACTTTCCTAATGTATCTGCATTTATACATTTATGTTTATTTGCTAAGTGTTATTCCATGATCACCAAAGTAGTCTCAACTAGTAGAGAATTTAAAAGTGTACAATGAAATGTGTAAATAATTTAGTATAAATGGTGTACCATGTGGATATTCGTTTTGCTAGATTGTCGAGTCAAGGTGTGATTATATTGAAATAAATATATTTTATTTGTCAATTGTTATTTTATTACTCTTGAGATAAAAACCACTCAACAAATCAAGGTTAAGTGTAAGAATGTGCAGGCAAAGGATAACTCTACATGTAAAAAGATATCTTATCAAATAAAACCACCGGATTCATAAAACTATTTTATTTTGGACAAAGTTTGCGCTTTAATAAATGCATCAACTAGCTCTTTCTTAAGCATACCTACAGCTCTTCTGTAAATGCCAGGGGCTGCTTGAGCATTATTTTCAGTTTCAAATGTCATGTACTTCATCCAGATGTCAACATTATCTGTTCCATGATGTTGAACAGCACATTCATAATATTTTCTAATATTCTTCACATTAGGCTTCTCCTGAGCCATTTCTATGTCAATCATATGTAAATGCACTTCTATCTGAGTGGGTGGAGTTCTTATCAAATCTTCATACAATAATCTAGCTGCTCTAATTCCATTGTGATCATACATTTTCTTCAAGAGTTTTGGTTTGATTTCTAGTAGGGCAGCGTGTTCACAGTTCTGAAACTGTTTGTATAACTCTTTTAACTGAAAAACAATAAAGATGTTAATATTTTTAAATAGCAATGTTGGGTTATACTTAAAAACATAGTAATATATAATAAAACTTACTGTAACATCAGATGTCACATTGTCTAAGGCTAAATTATATAGATGCAGTAAATCATTTGCCTTCATTGTTTTCTGAGCTTCCTGCAGTAACATTAACATTTTCTTCTCATCTGATTTACTGATAAGCAACTTTTCTTCCCATAAACATAGTGGTGAGGTTTTCATTGATGATTCCAAATTCTTTAATAGCATGAAAAAAAAACAATATGATACATTGATTACACCATTTACAATTATAGAAAGACACATCATCCTAAATGCTGAATGATTGAATTGAAATTGTTTATCATGTTGGTAAAACAGAAAAACAGATACTTGTCAAACATTCTGTATTACTTATTTCTGGCTATATAAGTCTGTCTTTTACAGATATAATGGTTGACATTAAATTGCAGGCAAATGGGTCATCATTTCTAATTCCTAAAACAGTTTTACTGTCAAATTGTGATATTTAAACATTACCTTTATTGTCTTTTCAAAATCTGCTCCTTGCTCTAGCTTATACATTTTAATACCAAAAGCGTACATTTCATCAGTTAGTACCCCATTTTCGTGACCATACATCCAAGCATTTTTGACGGCTTGGATTTTTAGCAAGTCACTACATACACTCTCATTTACCCCTAATAACTCATGTATATATCTTGTGCATAAGTTCTTATCTGAAAACTGAAAGAAAATATGTTAAATATATTTATTTAAATACTGTAGGTATTTACTGAAAAAGTACATGTAGTAAATGAAAAATAATTCTAACCTTTTTTAATGCCTGTTGATATACAGAATTAAAATAGTTTAATTCTTTTGAAAAGATATCATCTTCATTTACAAATTCCTCAATTTGTTCCCAGTGACAACCCTGAAAGAATATAAACAGTGGTGTTTAATTAAGTGCCTACACAATATACTTAATAATGTAACATGGTGAGTTCCATAAATCTGTAGATATTTGACAATATGTTTAATAAAAACTACTAATTTTTAGTTAACATAAACAATAACAGATAGGCCTGTTGGATTCTAAATTATTTAACCTGCATACCAAGCCAAAATATATTAGACAAAGATAGATTTCCAGCCAAAAAATATAATTGTGTTGAGCATGCAATAATCTGTATTGTGTCTAAATACAAATACTTAACATTTATGTATTGAGTAATATGTTATCACGTTATATGTTTATCATACATATGTCACTGTCATATGTAACTGTGCCAAATGTTTCATTTTAGTCATTTATTCATAAGTAGTGATCCGACCAGACTTCGCACGGGTCAGTGTGAAGTAATTACTTACTATTACTATGATAGGACTACACTACAGGACATTTGTATATGCAACATTTATAGACCCGTTCCATTCGTGCCGGCCGCTACCACCCGCGACGGACGTTCTTTTGAACTTCTAATAACATCTAAAATATTAATGATATGCTGTACAGAGCATTTTTAATCTACATTAAATGCACTACATATCTCACGTATAATGGGATAAAGAATAATAATTTATTATTTAAAATAGCTTCATAAATCCCTCATTATTTTTTTGTAATATTTAAAAGATAAAAATAGTAACTGTTTGTTATCCTTAGCAGATAGATAGACTTATACCATCATGGAATTTTTTGTAGATCTTTTAAAGATATACAATTCCATACAACATTTTTTTGTATATCTCGTAATGATGAAGATTAAGCTCCTAACCATATTGTTTACGACAAATCTTTGAAATTCTCGGATTTTATCTACTATAATATGCATGTACTATACATATAAACTTTCCTATTGAATCACTCTATTGGTGAAAACCGCATTAAAGTCCGTTGCTTAGTTTAAAAGATCTAAGTGTACAGCACAAAATAGAGACTTTATTTTATACTATGTAAAGAAGTTGTTGGTATGTAGTACCTACCTACACACCTGTACAAGTATTATACACACTTACTTGTAGTTCTTTTGAAGCTATATAGGGCCACACTTCTTTATTGGCATTTTGTGACCAAATCTGTTGCTTTATGTCATCAACAAATGATTCCTTTATTTCATATTTCATACAGAGGTCAAAGATCTTGAATAAATATTCCACACTACTAATTTTTTTGGCACCATTTCTCCATACAATATTGACCCGTTCCACCTGCTTTGCCTGAAGGAATATACACTATTTTAAATTACATTTATATATACATCTTAACAGTGATTTAAAATTAAATCAATTCTTTGGTAACAAACAGGATTTATCGTAAGTAAATGGAAACTCAAACTCAAAATAGATTTAATTTTTTTTTTTAAATCCTCTTTTATGTAGACTAAAGTCGTAGATCAACACACACAATAGCAACAATCTCTGTTTTATCAACTTTTATTTGACTTATTTATGTTATATACAGGAAAAAAAAGACCTGTCGAGTCAGAATGGCTATGACTACCCAGTATTTAGTAAAATAATGGTACAGTATAATTAAACCTTACCCTGTCATCATCACTTTCTGCCTTAAAAGTAAGAGCAATCAATTCAATGTCAAAGAGTTCAAGGTAGAGATCTTCAGAATCAGGATGCCTCTGAATACCCTTCAATAGAAAATTTCTAGCATTATCTAAATTATTCTGCTCTTTGCTCTCCCATCTGCTAGCTAGTTGCCACATCTTTGGTTTATCACCATGGACCTGAAATTGCATTAGTGATAAGTTACAACAGGAATAATCATGACCTGCTAAAAATCGCAGGTACCAAGGTAGGTATCAACTTTCTATTGATGTCTGTCGAATTGAAGAGGTAAGGGGCACTACCCCCTCCCCCTTAAAAGAAAAGATGCGGAGCGCCTTTTCGAGCTTTTTAATTCTGAGGCAATTTTTTTCATTTTATGGATTAAAATTAATAAATAATAATTAGCTTAGCTAATAATTAATAATAATTATTAGCTGCTCTCCCTACACGCCTCTGGCTCTATTAAAACACTCTAGGTCTCAAAAATTTCTCTCTCAATAAGTAGTCAAGTTCAGTGTTTATTACACTTAAACCCAGCAGATGGTAAATGAAAATGTTGACATTGACGGATATAATACAAACAGTGTTACAAATCAAAAAAGAAGAATGCGGAGAACCAGCATTATTTATATTACCTGTAGCATTTGTCCAATGATTCCAGATATAGCATAATCAAATCCTACACTTTTGCAGAATTTAATGTACTCAAAATATATTTTAACATCATCTTGGAATCTGTATATGAACTGTTTAAAAACTTTATTTAGGCGCTTGGCTATGGCATATTCTATATCCTTTTTCTTTTCTCCCAATTTGTTTCTTTTTCTCCTCGCAGATATGTCTTCTAACAAAGTCAATTCATAAGCAATATACTGTGCAAAGTCTTCCTTTTGTTTTACTCTACGCTGAATGTGGTACTCAAATTCTTTTCGTTTTCTAGATATTTCTCTGAAATATAATACCGAGTTAGTTATGTCTCAATAAGACCTGTTTGATAATCCGCCGGTTATAACTTAATTAACACGTTAATTACACACACACAACCATATAAACCACTGTTTAGTTCATCACTTAGAGATAAGTACTTAAAATTAATTAAATTTATTAGTATAAAGCTATGGCACACTTCTAATATATAAAACATGCTTACCTTATTTCTTCATCGTCGTATAATTCTGTTCTTCGCATTTGCTCCAATTCATTTATCATATCCTCAATTCGTTGATTTACTTGTTCAGCCATGATTACTTCTTTTGCGTACTAAGTTCAATAACTCAAATCAACGGTAACTTTTATTTATTTGTTTTCAATCAGCACAAATCCCACGGTGTTTACTCGTTTGGAGCATGCCTTTGAGGTTAACTCTGTTAAAAATAAACTAACATTGACTTATCTGTCATTGTCAAAAACTGTCAATGTTGCCATATTTCGTTTCTTTAAAAGTTTATGAAGTCGAAGAGTATTGGTACAAAAAGCCAATATTTCAATTTGAATTAGGCTTCTTGTAAACTACCGACAAGAAGTCTAAACATATATTTTAGATATCTAAAGAAAGTAAAACTCAATCATTAAATATTGATTAGCCTTGATATAGTGCATTTTCTATTTAAACAATAATCAACAGAGATCAGATAAGCCTGATGACCTAAGTGAAAGATCTGATTCATATAAATACGTTATATTACTAGATGACCTATGATCTAGGATCATCAGTCTGTCGTCACCAGACAGGCTTATTACTAAAGGTATGCATGCAGCTTCGTAATCCGTTCGACCAATCAGAAAAGACTCTTACAAGAAAAAATTAACATTGATTTAATAGTGTATAAAAGAATCAAAATATTGCCCGTTATTTCTTCAATTCAGCTATTTTTTTAATTATTTGTTTGGTTAATTATAACTATTTAAGTAGTCATAAATACATATTATTAGAAAAATATAGAAAAGGACAGTATTATTTCATCCTTCTAAATTTTTCATTTAGTCTAATCTGATTATAATAATTATAGAATTAATTATTTTAGAGTATATTTTATTTATCTATTCTCTAGTCCCAGGATCCCGAACCAAAACGAGCCCCAGATGTCTCTTCAAGGGCTCAGTGTCCATGCGAGTGCCTCCTACTATGGGGCTGGATCAGATTTTGACACCTAGGGATCCAGCCGCCGAATCCTCATGGTGCGCCTTATCGCACGCCGTCACGAGCGTGTGTTCCGCATAGCACGTGCCGACCGAGACCGAGTCCTATTTCGGTATATGACGGCTCCAGCTCCCTCTAAGTACCCTTCGAAAGCACGGTCACTACCTTTGGTAAAAAACTCTTATTTAGAAAATGTCCGCCTCACAAAGACGTCAGTTCCTCACGGTAGGCCTTCGTGGGGAATGGAGGGGAAACCCCGTCCACCTCAGACTCCACCACACTCGTGGAGCGTGTAACGGCTGGTCGTGAGAAATATCCACTACGTTGAGTCAAATTCTCACTGCATTTGCAGGGGAGACGGGGGCAACTCAATTCACTCCTTGCGATCGACTGTTGATACTTCCCTCAGCAGACGTGCCTAGAAAAAACCTGCGTCAATCGGAAGGAAAAGGTTCTGTGCTGCCACCATGACCGGCATACCTACCTATATTTTTTCTTTGTTAAAAATTCTGCGCACGCGCCCCTTTGTAACCTCGCGCCCCTAGGCACGTGCTTACTTTTCCTTAGGGATAATCCGCCACTGATAACGTAATCTTTTTGTGAACTTGACGTGGCAGATCTCTTTTCAAAGCAAAAAACTGAACAATTCGGGATTTTTGTAAGTCGGCTATTGATGTCTACTCAGCACAGCGCAACTAGATTTAGTCTAGTGAGCGGTCCGGCAGCAACTAGTTTTATTGTATGCATATGACCGTGTGGACTGATACTTTGGCAGAGGGTAACGCCTGCGTATGGCTACACCCTATCGTGTGTTAGAAAGAGCTTTAATTTATTAACAAAAGTATTAAATTTAGTCTCGTTTTTAATGTCCATTGGTAAACTTTTATAGACCTGACCAAAGGACCACGACAATGCATTATTAGTCTTATCTGTTCTCTGTCTGATTTAATCTGTTCTTGTTTTTAAAGGAAAAGTTTGTTTCTTTTGAGATGGTATTATTCATCGCTTGTTTATAGGTAGTTAGTTTCCTGATGAATTAAATTTAAATAAGACTCATTATTGAAACCATTCCAAATACTTTTACTTTTCTTTAGATTTATTCTATAACATTAGTTAAGGTTAACATATTCTTGTAATATAATGAAGGATAGTAATTTCAAATTGAAATTAGTAGAAGGTGCTGACATTCCTCAAAAATTAGAAAACAGTCAATCAACGAGAATCTCATCAAAAAGGTTATTTCCTGTAGGGAATATTCAAAGATAGAACGTAGTTTCTACGTGCTACCTAAATAGCACATTGTTTGCATGAAAATTGACAGTCCCTACGTATTACCCCATTTTAAATCTCTATGAATCAGAGATCACTCTAAACAATGCGTTTTAGTTCACGACGTTCGACGTGTAGTAGTACAGGTTATTTCATGCCTAGTTCTTTGAATAATGTTACCAAGCGTATTCGGTTTCTATATTTGTTTACTAAGCAAAGGATGAAATGACAAAAATAATGTTTAATTTCGTTGCAGCGATTGTTCGGTCGAGTCGAAATAAGATCTACATCTACCCACAGTAGCAGTAAGTTCAGGCCTGGTACAGCACGCGTACAAATTAGCTCTTTATTATTTTAGGAGGCAAATGAGCAGCCGGTCATCTGAAGATAACTGACTACCGCCGCCCATGGATACCTTCAGCTTAAAAATCACCAATACTTTGTCGCCCGTTGAATCTCCCCTTACACGACTTGAGAGGGGGAGCGGGGTTTGAGCTCCGATGACCTCACCTTATCCGGTGAAAAACAATGAACGTAACAACGGTTTACTGTGAGGCCGTGGTATCTCTCTGGTCTGGCCATTTGTACCGAAGCATGGCTGTCCCAAGGCAGAGCTTGTTTGATTTGTTTCTGTTGTACTAATAATTCAGTCAGTTAACTTACTTATTACTGCGACTTCGGCGGTGATAGGTTCTCACTAGTATTAAAAAAACTACCATATGATTCAAATTATTTATTCTAAATATCGTATTTACGAAAATCACTACTATAACAAGTTATACATTGGTAAACAGAACCTCCTCTTTCTAAAAGTAGTAAACAAAAACTGAGGAGTTAAGTAGTTAAATAATATTAAATATAACTATCAAAAATAAATTAATTTGTTTCTTCATTAAAGATCGTAATCTTAATATTTACAAAATACATAATACTATTACCTGCGTACTTGTGTCGTTTTATAAGGGAATGCCCTATAAAATAATACAAAATTGTAAGGTGGGTCTGAGTCATATGGCTTTATGGAATACATTTAAGTGGATTTAGAAGTTGTGACTGTTTTGATCGTTAAATCTGATCTCATAAACATAATATCCCAAATAAATTGAATACAACATCATCTAGCTGTAAATCTAATCACGCCTCCTTCACAATGTTCTATCATACCTCTACCTTTAAAACAATTTAACCAAGTTTTCGAAAATGCTTTAAAACTTTCCCTTTCTTCATCTGTTTTCGACACTGGATTAACATTAATTTCAGGTATACATCTGCCAAAGTCTATAGCTGGTAACCACACAACAAAATCTGAATCGGGAGAATATTTGAATATATCCTGGCAACCCTGGAGGTTGATTTGTGGAACTGGCGGTTGTCGTTGTAATAACTTCTTTAGTGTGATGAATGTCAAATTATTATTCTTGAGGGCTATTGATTGGAGGTTTTTAGCGCGGCCAATACTCCTGTAAATATGGCAAACATTATATATATATAAGAACACAAAAACACATATAGATAATTATCTTTATAATTGGCGAAAACTTTCATTACAGCTTTTCAATAAGATAATAGGTATTTTCTTTTTCATTAATACTTTAATAAACTCGACAACAATATCGTCATAATCGTAGAATAATAATAATGTAATTCACTTTTTACCATAATTGCATACTACATTGTCTAAATATTATTACTACATTCAAGTTTTTTTTTTATGTATTTTAGATTTCAAATTATTCAGTGTTTGTTAAATAGGCGCTGAAAGTAAAATGAAGCATGTGATTTTTCTTGAAAATTGTATAATTATTAGTTGTTATTTTTATTGTTAATCCTATTTTTCACTTGTATGCGAATTTTCATAATTACAAACTTAGAATTAAAAAAGTTATGTTCAAAAAATAACGTAATATTTGAAATGTCTGCCCTGTAAAGTTTAATAAATGTCAGATCCGACACTATTTACTACAGAATACAGAATTTTAGCAAATTACCTGAATATTCTCATAAATTGTCCATCAACTAATTTACAATTCGAGAGTCCAAGCCTTCTTATTTTTAATTCTTTAGCAGAGTCCATAAAGCTGGCAATACACCCCACCACATTTCCTTCCACACCAACATTGTCCAACTCCAGATCTACCAGTATGTTAGGATTCAATGACGTCATTAAACAACTGACAAACGGCAGTTTTAATTCATTATTACTCAGATCAATCGATTCCAAAGATTCAAAATTTAAATGTAATTTATTCGAATCATTAATCGCATCTTCAGTTATTTTACAATAATTTAATTTAAGTACTTTTAATCGAACATATTGGCATATTTTCACAATATTCTTGAAGCCATCATCTGATATTGGATTTGAGCTAAAGTCGATTTCTTCTAGAGATTGACAAGGTACACGGTTTGATTTTTCAAACAGGTTTAAAATCATTTTTATTCCTTCGCCTGTAATGTTATTACTACTTATATCTAAATGTGTCAAGTGTTTCATAGTGCACATACATTCTGCTAAGTATTTAACGCCTGCGTCATTTATATTATTGTCTGATATCATTAAGGCCGTGATATGTGTCTGGTGAGTCAGAGCTCGGAATAAGGGTCGAATTTGAGAGGAAGATAATGTTTTCGCTCCCAGTGCGAGTCGATGCGTTGTATGACTCCGGCCAACTGCTTGTTGGATTTCTTCAGAAGGAGCTGGAAGGGTTATAGTTGATGTAGTACAAGCATAGGTAATGTTCGTAATCACAAAATGAATGAATAAAAATTGAAATGCAGAAGGTGTTTACATTGTAACAGTAGAATTAAGTATAAGACGAAGTAGTCTTTTTACATTACTGAATTATCTTACTTACGTTCTCAGTAACGGAAGGCTTTTATAAAAAACTACTTGTACCCTGCCACGTTTCGCTGTGGCACAGTGTAGTTGTAAAAAATGGATAAAAACCTGCGGCTGCAGCTCTTTTTGAGTCTTTGAAGCATATACAAACCAACTTAACATTTTTGTATATAGACTTACGTATTCCCAGAGCTTCGCAGCACTCGAGGTACCTCTCCTCGGCCGGCGACGCCTTCCAGTTAGTGATGCACGTCTTGAGTTCAGGCGACGACAGCACTAAGCTGAGAGGATCGTCTTCGGAGAGTATCGCGCCGTCTGAAGTCATCAAACTGAATATCGGTCGGACGCCTGTTAGTCTGTAGAAGAATATAAATGCTAATATTAATAATAACACTAACTATTGTGTACACAATGTTGAAAGATTCTAATTATGCAATTCTCAGCAAGGTAATTTTCATAAGACAATCTGTAGAAATCACATAACTATTTGTTCTTTATCTATGTACAAACCTCTGTACTATAATAATATTAAGTAATAGTTTAAAAAATACTATTTATAACTTACCACAAAAAATAACACAACATAAAAGCAAAACAGATTTTACGTCATGTTAAAAGCATGATTATCGAGTTCAAAACTGAACGTACTTTTTACACTTCATTTTTCTATTTGTTCATATTATAAAATAGGTACTTACTTGTAATATCTATTTTTCACTTCTTCAACCAGCCAGCTGATTGTCAATCTATTTATACTATCTAACTTTAACGAAATCAATAACACTTTGTCTTCAACTTGCACTTTCACAGCTGCAGGTGGTAGTATTTGTGTTTGTACGGGTCGCCCGTTTTTAGTCGACTGCACAATATTTATCGGTTGTATCACTTTCATGGGCTGTACGACATTAGGGTTTATATTTTGTACTATGTTAAAGCCATCATTAGATTGCACATTGGAATGATAGTTAAAGTTTTCTCCTGAAGATTTTCTGGAAAATTTAACAGAATTATTCGAACATTTTTTGTCTCGGCGTGTATTTATATCTGTATCGCTACTGCTGTTACTTGAATTATCTTCATCCCTTTGCCTTTGGAAGCCAGCTTTAAGTAAAGTACTTTGTCGCTTCCAACGTTTTTTCATTTTGTCCCTACTGTCTCTGGAGTCATTCAGTGCCGTTGCGTTATTCCTCATTGCCTCCCTAGGCGATATCTTTGGACGTATATTTTCGTTACGAAATTTGTCTGAATCTGAACTATTGTCACTTACATCGACGACATCGCTAACCCTCGACTTCTTTTTAGGGACAAATCTATTACTTTCTACTAAAGGCTCTGTGATCTTGTTTATTTCATCTATGGAGTCCTTAATACTTTCATATGAAGGTTTCTTAGCTACTGTAGTAATTGGGTCGCTGAGTTTTCTCTTTTTACTATTTTTGTTTATGCCTAGATCGTCATCAAGCCAGTCATCGTCAACTTCTTCAGGGTCTAAGAAAGCAGATTTTAGTTTTGATTTCTTTACATCTATCTCTGGTAAATCATTCATGCTTCTGTTTCTTAGTGCCTCTATCGCATTTCTGTATTCTTTAACACCTGAAGATTTCTTTTTGTTATCCTTGTTCAATTTTCCGTCATCAGATGACGAATCATCAGACGGGAATGCTCTTTGATTGTTAATATTTTGTGACAAATCGATATCATCGTCACTTTCATCATCAATAATATTTCTTTTTTTGAAAACTGGGGATGCCAGCTCTTTAATTCTGCTGTTCATCTTCGATGTGCTGGGAGGAGATACATCTTTGATTGGTTTCACTGGGGTTTTAGATTTGGATCTACTAAAAATATCAACTGTATTTGTTTTATCGATTAAACTGTGGATCTTCTTACAAATATTGTTGTATAATGTGTCCTGATCCTTCGTAAGTATGTTACCAGTACGCCACTTTTGTAGAACGTGTAACGGTGTCTCATCAAAATCCGTTTTTAATGAGGGTATCGCGCCTTTTTCTAGTAATAACTGGACTACTTCTAAGTGACCATTGCTCGCTGCGTCATACAAGGGCGTAATACCTGTAAACATTGATGACCTTAGTAAAATAAAAATTAAAAGTATCTACATTAATTTATTTGCATATTTTGATTGTAGGGGTGAAATCTACAGTATAAGTGTGCATGTTTTAAACCTTTTTGTCCAGTATTTGTGTATGTTTCATTTCTCAAATATACACAAACACAAAACCTAAAATAGCTAAATATACATAATAAAAATAACTATAATGTGATATTCAAAACTTAAATTGGCGCCCAACTTGTTTTCTATACCTCAGTGCATTTTAATATGTATGCGTTCTTATTTCAAAACAAGCTAATACCCGCGACTTCGCTCGCGTGCAATTTGAAAAGCGCTACCTTAGTGGGTTCGATGCCGGACCGGGCAAAATTTTAAAGAATTTTTCTGAGAGAAAAAAATTGCCTAAGTTATTCCTTATGTAGACAGAAACCTGGTAGTAAAATATTATCGAAATCAGTCCAGCTGTTTAGGGGTTTACCCGAACAAACAGATAGACAGACAAAAAAAAACTGGTTTTTAGGCATAGGTATCGTGAAAATAACCGTGTGAGCATGAAAAAAACCTATAATTTTGACATTACAAACAGACACTTCAATTTTATTTATTTGTATAAGATAGGAAGCGTCATATAAAATACAAATTTAAAAATTTATTTTCAAAATAAGTATGCGAACTGTATTCTTCATTTTCTACCCAAAGAAATTATATATTTCTTACAAATATAAACAAACTTGAGTAAATCCAATTTATTAAGTAAAATAATGTTTGAATTCGGTTCAAAATGGCAAAGGTATGGCGTAAACACATACAAAAAAAAGTCAAAATGAGTGAGTGATATATAAAATATTTAGCATTAGGTTACCATCACAGTTAGATCCCCCTCGATCGTTGATGTTGGCTCCATTATTGATCAGAGTATTCACTACTTCAATATGTCCGTGTATGCAAGCTTCGTGTAGTGGCAGCCAGCCTGCATTGTCTCGAATATTCACTGGATGACCTTTAGCCAACAGCCTCTCCACAAGAAGTTTATTACCTGATATGCATGCCTGACAAAAATACAATCATAAAAGAGAGTTTAGACTGATAAATTTCTAGAATATACTAAGCTGATGGTAAATCAAGAAAAATTAAAAAATAACAGAATCACGGAAAATCAAAGTGCTCAGATCCTGAGTAATAGGGATTCTTACAAGTATACAAGTGTGTAGTGTTTCGAACAAAGATTATTTTTTCCTCCCATTCGACTGGTTACGAATCATTCGATTTCGATGGCGGCCGAAGGTTAATGGGCCAGATCGACGAGATACCACTGCTACACAGAAAACCAGTTAAGTAATACCTTCGTTGTTTTTTACCGAGTGACCGAGGTTACTGGAGCCCTAAACCCCCCTCCCTCCCTCCGCCCTTAGTTTAGGGGCTCAAAGGCCGGCAACGCTTTTCTGACATCTTGAAAAATAAAACAACACTATCCCTCTTATTTTCCTCTAAATTTGTGGAGAAATTGGAGATTATTTGTTTACTTACGACATGCAATTGTGTTTCGCCTTTCATGTTCTTCTTAATAGTGTATCCCTTCCCACGTTTCCGTGTTTCACGTTTTGTCTCAGATATTTCCTCGTCGTTTGTATCTGACAAATCTACAAATTTATACAATGCATGTATATAAAAGAATATAAAAAAGATTAATAGACCCTTACAATTTTTTATGATAGTTGCATTAAAAATTGAAAGGTTTTATTAAAATAAGTCACTCAGGAAGGGGATTGAATTATCTTACAGGATAATTAATTTTTTAAATTTACACTAAGCCAGGATGGTGGTTTGGTATAATCAGTACAGATAATACTCGTAAAACAGGCAACCGTCAAGACACAGACGTTCTTCAACCATTTGTAGTTGTCGGAAACACTCGATACATGGTGTTACGAACCTCAACTTGACTTTATACAATTCAATAAGCTAACCTGTAAGGTCATCCAAACAAATGTCGTCGCCAATATGCGTTGTGTCTTCGTCCCCGCCGCCGGCAGAACTTTGTTCATCTTCAGAATTCTCCAAATTATCCAAGTCATCATAGCCCAAGGCCCTTAGGTCATCTTTTGTTTGTTCCATTTTATCAGTTTCACAATATTCCTCTTGATACTTAAGAAGGCTTTTGAGTACCCTGATTTCGTATTTTCTTTTGTTCCATTCTTGAGCCTGGGGAAAAGAAAAGCTGGTGTGACTGCTAAGAAAGCACTAAAGAAGACTGACAAAGAGAGATGAAACGGAGGTCCAGTAATTATTCGATTGAAATGTAATATGCAGACATATAATGGATGTAAAATTTACGTACTTTATATGTGTCACATAAATACAATCGCCATAATTAATTTAATTAAATACAATAAATATTGTATTGTACTACATTAAGGAAAAATAAAATTATAGTTTTTTTTTTTTTTTCACAATGTTTTACTAGTTAATTCACACTCCATCATGTTAATACTGCGAAATGAAACGAAATGTATGTTTAAAATCACAAACCACCTGTATCTGATTGATCTCTCTCGTCATACTTATCCATCTACAACTTTTAATACAAAATGTATTCTTACCGCTCTTCTAGCTTGCAAACAAGCCTTTTCAATCTGGTCATAAGGTTTTTTTGCCAAGAACAATGTTTCAGCAATGTTATACATTGTTGTGAAGGCTTCCTTTGGAACATCTTTTATCAGTTCATATTCTTTTTCATAATAATCAAGAGCCTCATTATATGAACCCATGTCTTTGTATGTTTGGTATAAACTGAAATAGAATAATAAAACGTTGAAATTAAACATGTAGGAAAGATGTATGTGGTTAATAAAATTTTAGTCAAGAATTATATAAAATATGTTAAAATACACATAACACACACAAGTATACATGTACTTAAATGTAGATTAGTAAAAGTAGTTATTTTTACGAAATTAGCAGCAGTGCCGGATACCAAACTAAAGAATCCTTATTTCTTAAGAATCTAACTTCCTTGTTGTTCCTTTAAAATGTGGCCTTTGTAACTGACCTTGATTATAGCAGTGACCTGACTGATACCTAAATATCGAAATCAGCTGTGTAACTTCGTGGGTTTCAAGTCTTACTAATTTTATAAAAATAATTTAAAAACACTAAGTTTTTAATCTAGACAATTTTGCCCACAAACTAAAAGGAAGGAGGTTAAACAAGCAATATATAAAAAAAAGTCTTAATAATAAATGCATTTACCTAACATATATTGGGATGAGTGTCTTGCCACAATCCCCTGCCAGTTCAGCATGGTCCAACATCTTCAGGTAATATTCTACAGCACCTGCATAGTTACGTAGATGACAAGCCCCGTCGCCTAACTTCTCATAGAGTTTCTTGAAGCCAGCATGATCAGTGGGGTCCGCGGATATCAGTAAGTCTTCCGTATAACACATCGCTGCCACTGTTTGGATAGTTTTTACAAAATTTAAAAAATAGCTCAAAAGGTGTACTGTTATTTTAGTGGTACTTCCATGATATGGTAACCTTGACCATGTAGCAGCCAGACCTTGGGTTGATGCTGGTTGCGGGGTTGTTCCAAATTTTTATTTTGTATTATGTTTTATTCAAGTTCTGTTCCATAGAAATGCGTAATTACTTTTAAGCAAGCAAAGCATGGCCTTCCTAAAGGCTCTGGAGGGCAGAATGAATCTTCGAATGCCATCAAGCATTGGAGCAGCTTGCCAAACTCACCCCGCTGCAGACAGTTCATACCGGTGCTGATGGAAGTCACACCACGACTCATCTGCAGACTGATCAGTCTTAGCAGACAAGAAGAAGAAGTTTGAATAGTTGTAGGAACTATAACCGGACACCTAGCCCTGAATCGACAACTATTCGCCATTAATGCGATGGACAGTCCTCTTTGCAGGGGATGCCTGAAAACAGAAGAAAGGGCCGCCCACGTAATCCTGGAGTGCGGGGGAGTGGCGACACAATGGGCAAGTATCATACCTGATACAAAATTGCTCCTCGAAGCCTGTGAATGCCCCAGGAATGCTTAAGCTCTTCTGCAAGGAGCTTAGTTGGCTCACTTAGCCAATCTTTCCTTGCTGCATAAAATACCATTCATGACTCGGACTGCAGAAACCGGAGCCCACAACCAATACCAAAGAACAAGCAAAGTCGAAAGAAACAAATATAATATAAAATCTAAACTTAAAGTTGTTTTTGACCATATCAGTTATGCATTAACAACCTACCATTTGGTAACCCAACATATTTATATTATGATATAGTTGGAGACACTATTTAGGTGTAATATGTGGCTAAAACATACTTACCAACTCTAAGATTAGATTCAATGATTTCATTTTCTTCCTCATCAGGAGTCTTCAACTTCCAAGCTTTCAGCAGCACTTGTTTAGCACTTTGGTAATCTGACATTTTGCATAAGATGTCTGCTTTCGAAGAGAGTGTTTCACATGTTTTCAAGACCTGTAACGTAAATAAACATGTGGTTGTGGAACTTTCAGTCCCTGTTTTATTGTACACAATAAATATATATATATATATACATAGAACATTGTCTTTACCTATTTCTTCATTAAAAGTTGAGAAATAGTTCCACATAAATATGTATGAACATTTTGTTGTATGTCTTTTCACAAAAGTTGTCTATTACATGTAAATATAGATCCTAAAAAATTGGTATCTTTAAACTCGCATAACTTTAGCACTTTTAAAATGGGAGTTCTATGCTGTAGTATTTGAGGGTCTCCATTTACACAACTTACATTACAGTGCTAGTACAAAAGTCTTACTAAGCAAATCATTTCAATAAAAAGCAACCTTGTTTCAGACACGATAAAGTGCAATTTAAGTCACACAGTGCTAATTAATTAGTCAAAGTTTACCATACAGAATTATGATAAACTTGATAAAAGTAATATTAGATGTACCTTATCTTCCAAACGTTTAGCAACTTCAAGAGCCTTATTAAGGGAACTTAATGCTTTTGCATAATCTTTCTTCTTATTAGTATGTAGCAACGCTTCAGTAGTATAGCAGTTATGCAAGACTTCATACAAATCTTGACTAGAGCATATTGATATAGCCTTATTGATGCAGTCTAATGCCTTATCCAGATTTCCAAGGTGTTCTTGAACTACTCCTATATTGAGGAGTAAACGAGCTCTCATATCCATCAATTCATGTTTATTGATTTTTCCATTTAAGCTGAAAGAAAATAATAAAATTAGTTTAATGTAAGATTATAAGTGATGATATTCCTGTTAAATATTTCCAGTTGACATTCCTAAATTATATTGAATAGTAGTAGGGCTACAGCTTAAAAAAAATATTCCCTTGCCCAGTAATTGTGAAATTAGAGTAAGGCAACTAACCAATCAACACACAACACTGCTTTTATAGACCAGTGTTAATGACTGTTGATGAAATTATAACATACAGATGGTGTTAATCATATCTCTCTTTTTACCATTTTACCTTTAAAATAACAAATAATAATGACTAATCAGTACAACTACAGCTTAATAAGTTGATGTTATAATTAAGTTCTAAGAATAATTAACACATGTAGTACATACTTTTCACACAACACTAGACTCTTCATAAATGCTTTTTCAGCAGCCTTTAATGATGTTCTAGCTTCAGAATCATCAGTAGTACTTTGTCCTTGTAGTAAATATATTCTTCCAAGAGTTGCCATTGCTCTTTGTTCTTCAACCAAGTTTTTAAGCTCTTTAGCTACAGCTGAAATAGGAATATTTATAAAAAATAAAATTTACATATGATCTTGCTTATATGTACACCTCTAAAATAAATTAAATTTATTAATATTGACATAAATTATGGTAATAAAAAATGGTTTTCCAAATATTATTAGTAAACTTTGGTTACCTAAATGGCGCTCTTCATACTTCAGAGCCTTGTCAAATTCAGCCATCAACATGTACATTTCTCCGATCATCCTGTTGCATGTACCCCATTCCATCCGCAGACCTAACTCCTTAACAATAGCCGCTTCACTTCTATACTCATCTAAAGCATCACTGTAGCGATTATGTTTATAATAAAATGTAGCCAAATCATTATGAGCTTCTGCTAAACTTCGTCTGTTACTCCCGTTCAAAGCTTTTTTCTTCCTTCGAATGAGTTCTGAAATATAGGTACTTGGTTAATAAACAAAGCACAACTAAGAAAAACATTAATGATTATTATGGTCTATAGCCGAAATACTTACTTTCTTCTTCCATTATTTGATAATACACTGATATTAGTATTCAGACATAATCAAAATATTTACGAAAATAAATAAAATTTGGGCGCCGAAATGAGTTATTGTAACAAAACTGTCAAACATGTGGATTGGATGGACATTGGACATTTGAACAAGTTACGACGAGATGAAAGTTTATTTTCCCGTAAAGTTTTGCTATCAATGCGTTCATAGAAAAACTTATATGTGACAAGTCAAAGTAACTTTACACCATTTACAACTACCTATGAATATAATTTGTTAAAGGTTAATGATGAAGTGAAATAATTTCATTATACAGTAGTGAAATCCAAAAAAAACTGTCTCTTTCTCTGTAAATTTAATTCATATTTCTTAAAATCGTACACCATATTTATTAAAACCTAAAATTCGAACGCAATCGTCGCTCATAACCAATTTCAAAATTGTATTTCAAATTAAACTGGATTGAAATATGGCTACACCTATAACACTATCCAATTAAGAATCACAAATACTCATAGAGCAACATAGGCCACCACGGTACCGTGCAAGTATTGTGCAAAAAAGTGGCGATCAACTTAAAAATATTTTTTACTTTGGCAAGTGCCAGCATATGTCATAACGGGAAAATAACGTGAATCACAACAGACCACTAAATTGAAATTCTCGAGGGTCAATGAACGATCATAAAACGCTGTTGTGTACAAAATAATTTCTCTTCTATTTCATTATTTTCTGACTGTAATCATAATAGATATAGAGTGTTTGTTTTATAATTCAACTTTGTAAATACACTGTATCAGTTAGATTTTGGTGTTACGATATTTATACCACCGGTGGTGTCGATACAAAACTGCCTGGTGAGTAAGTACATTTTTTTTATTTCTTTCATTATCTACATAAGTCCAGAGTTTTGAACTTGTACAGATTATTTAGTACCTGCCTTGACTTTGTGTAACATAATAATTGTGGTAGTAGGTTATTAACTACGATAGATTAGATTAGTTTAAAAATCAAATGATTTAAAGAGAAGTTTCACTTCATTGAATACCAAGATTAATAAGTATTCTCAAAATTTAAGGATTAAGTACTTAATTATTTTAAAGTGCCTAAGTTACCATGTTTAAGTATGCTAGAGAGTAGTTATGCCTTTTTAATTAATTATATATATAAATTCTTATACATAATATATAACGAAGCCATGTCAGTATGCGTTTTGCACCTAAACTAGATATTTTTTAAACAAACAACAAAGTAAACACATTTTGTTTATTTTATGTATTTTAATTAAAACCTATCGTATGTTATAAAATTGCTTCGAAATAAGTAATACACCATATGGTCACATTTGTAGTCTTTAAATATATGCCATACGAGTCCCTACATAATATAATCAGAGATTTCTTTCCAATTTTTTTCCTGCAATTCATAATGACAACTTAAGAACATATAACGGACATTGGTCATATCGAACGTATATTTATCACCTTCGTACCTAAATATTTTATACCTACCTATTCTATTAATTAATTTAATGGAAAAGTAAGTAAATATGGCACTTGCTAAATATTAGGTACATTAAATGAGTGATAATTTTTATAGTTCGCCATTTAATCAATGGTGGTCTTTGGCGATTACGTCTCCGGAGGAAAGTCAACTCTAATTTCCAAGGCGTGGTCGCTTAGTACCAAGTTGCCCCTTCCTTTACTAGGTACTATGCCAACGGGATGATTTTATATCAAGATGCCGTTAATGTCCGTAGGTCATCAAAGTTACACAAATTATGACTACCATAATAATAATTATTAAAACTTTACACGTCACATACACGGCCGTCTGATCCCAAACTAGGCTGAGCGTGTACTATGGTAAGCAGACTGTTGATAAACATAATTATATCAACCATGAAAAAAATCTAGAGACACGTAATGCGTTTGCCAACTCTTCATGTATCTGCTATTTACTTAGAAAGACAGCCTTGTTGTGCTGTACTGGGGGTACTCAGCACGACATAAGCGTCGGTTATGGAGGTTCCTCCGGATGCGGATGGATGCGGTGTTAAACCAGACATTTTTAAATACTTTCGTTTTTTTACTGTCCCAGTTTTACTGACTGGAGTGGACTATTGAGGCCTCCAACTACCCGTAACGATTGCCACAGATGTTCGTATGGCGACCGGGCCTAACGGCTTAACGTGCTCTCCTAGGTACAAAGGCATAAAGGGGTCTTAATGTGTTTAGAATGTTCACCCATTCATAGACTGACCTGACTAGGTTAACCTACTCGGTTACCACTTAGTCACAAGCCCCTCAATCTCAATATCTTAGAATATATCTTACAAATAAAATGACAAACAAATGAAAAAAAAAATAGAATGAATTGAAATTAGAATGACCTTCGTCATCATGATTGTTTTGTCACTTTTATTCCAGCGGAGATTCACGTACGATCTGTGGTGACAGTGACGTGACATTTTCTACAGGATCCTGTAAAGATAATAATAATAATATAATAACATTGTACCACATTCACACAACGCCATCTAGTCCCAAACTAAGCAGAGCTTGTACTATGGGTACTAGACAACTGATATAAATACATATATATATATATTTTTTTTGTAAATACATACTTATTATACATAGAAACACCCAGACCAAATCAAACATTAAAGGTAAAATCAGCGTAGCTGGTTACGAAACCTGATTAAGCTAATATACTGCAATACATATTAAATATTATACTAATTATTAAACTAATAAGGAAGAACTCCAACTAAAGTGGTTTGGACTAAGATATCTATTAAAATCACTACAGAAAAGGACTGTTTACATATTAGTTGCCACTGTAAATACAGCTTACATTAAGGCTCTGCGATAAAACTAAGTAATTATTTACAAAAAGTTACCTTTACACTTCAATAACATTTCAAGCATACAGTACTTTCTATTTCATAATATTTATACGTACATCAAGATTCCTATTGAAGAGGAGCGTCGTCAGGGCGGCGCCTGTACGGGACGGACGCCGTCATTTCGACCTACAGCTATTTTCTCGGAAAATTCTCGCCAAAAATATCAGTATGATAATTAGGTTAAAGTAGCTATCTATATACCAATATGTAAAGATTTTTTGCACATTATTAAGCAAATATCGCGCACCTAGAAATGTAAAATTAGGAAAACTTAAAGTTTATACAATCACCGAATGAGCACAGAAAGGGGTCCGGTAAATGCATATGTTGACCCTCCATGGCAGGGAAAATCCGCTCAATGATATGAAACAAAATATTTAAAATTATAGTCAAAATAAAACTGCGCGATCTGTACTGTGTGATAAAAATAAGGAGTTCTCCGGAAAATTAATGTTTTCCTTATTTTAAAAGATACGCGAATGTCTTTTCCATAGGCGTAATACCAATTACCTGCAAAATATTGTGACAATTTGTTTATGATACAAATAGAAATTGCAAACAATGGCAATAAAATCAATGACTACGCCAAGAATTCACAATATACAATTAATAGTATTCTCTTTTGAAGATGAACTTATGAACAATAATCTATTCATACATTAATACATTCCTGACAGCCACTAAGAAAATTGTGTACTATTTAATCATAAACAAGCTATGCCGCCATTATCTGAGATACTTTTTGTTATTTACAATTTAAAAAAAACAAATTACTTTTCAATTAATTCTGTTTTTAAGTTTTTAAATTATACACCTTTTTCCGAGTCTTTTATATGCAAATTGTTTAAGGACCCATCTATTTCCTTTAGCTGATCTTTTTTGTTTTTTCACCAAACACTTAGGAACCGTTTGCAATCCTTCTTACTCTTTCATTTCATTTCTCCGTATTTCTCTTAATAATTCTTCTATTTGAAAATTGGACTGTTAAAAATAAATCGTTTCTTCCTTCAAGTAATATTATTTCCACGTTCTTGTTAATTTTAGCGAAAAACTAATCTGTGTGTTCTTACCTTTTTGGGAGTTAAGCAGTATTGTATATCAATAATTATACGCAAGGTATACGGTTTAAAATTAAAAGTACTTTAAGGACAATTGAATACCTCTTAAAAGGCTTAAAAAGACCCAAAAGAGAGGAAAGAGTTTACGCTGAAACTTTAATATTATGCTCACTGGTAGTATTTGAATAAGTAGCTTTGTAAACTAAAAAATAAATGGTCCCTGGGCCATAAAACAATTTTCAAACATTATTTGACGGCGCACCGCTTGTAGCAGAAATAGAATTTTAGTTTCTCTAAAAATATATCCACTCCGACATCGGAAACGTTGGCTTAAGGCGAAGCATCCTCAGGTGATATGCAAGTATTCCCAATACGAAATTGGTTAGTGAAGTGGCAAATCTGGGCCAAGAAAGCATACTGACGGAGCATTTTCACCTAGATATTTTGCCGTTAAATCTTCAATTTCCTTTAAATTTGACTAAGCCTGAGGGCCGTTGTAAATTTAACTTAATAATACTATAATAACTTGACACAACTCACATACGGCCGCCTGAATCCAATTTAAGCAGACCCTGCATATTGATAAATTACTCTTAAATTCAGAACAAATTATCGTACTCACATTATCACATCACATCAATAGCTTATAATAGTCCACTGCTGGACACAGGCTTCTCCTTAGAAAGAAGGTTTTGGCCTACTATACCACTCTGGTCAGACGGGATGGTATAGGGTTTGTTTTCCAATCACACATTTGTTCTGGGCGAGGATCGAAAAAATCGAGAATCGATATCTGGTTCAGCACTCAGGATAACTGACCAACTCGTCAACAGTCCAGTTAAAACTCGGTTAAGATTTGATCTTTTAATTTTATATTTAGATTTTTGAATTTTTAATTTTATATTTGAATTTTATATTTTATATTTAGATTTACATCTTTTAATTTGGTTTTTTAGTTACTGATTATCAAAAAAAAATGTCATTAAATTGGTAAAAATTTACAAAAATATATTGATAATAGTCTTAGATAAACCGCGCGTTTGG